CTAAAAGTTCGGATTGCCCCCCCACCGGCATGTGGAGAGGGCCACAGGGAAGCCGCCCAGACCTCCCTGGGGGTTTCTCCATGACGATGGCACAGGAGGGCAGGTCCCTGTCTGGGTTCCCGTGTGCCCTCCAGACTGCGGCTGCGCTGGGTGATCATGAGCCTTGAGTGGAAGTCGCAGAGCTAGAGGAGCAGAAGGGCTGAGGATGGGCCAGGCTGGCATTCCCAGGTCTCTGGGGAGGCCTGGAGACCAGCCACTGGCCTGGAATCAGTCAGGTAGTTCAGAGCAGCTGACGCGAGAGCTCCTGCCCCGACGACAGCCCCCGCTCTGCAGCGGAACAACGACAACAGCAACCACTGTCCACTGAGCTCCTAACTCACCTGGGGCCTCTTGCTAGGCAGCGGGCCGTGGGTTGCCTCATCTTGTGTTACTCTTACCAAGAGCAACAGTGTTTCCCACCTAACTACTCCTATATTTCAAATCCTACTGGTTTGATGATTTATTTCTTCATGTTGTAAGATGCTTTATCTTCTCCAAACTATTTTGAACTGCCGGCTGCTCCTCGTACACCAGCATCTCTCTTGCCCACTCTCCTCATCCCACCTCGGCAACCTCAGGCCTCTTCTTCAAACAGAGGGGGCCACAATATGCAAAGCAAGCAATCACCCAGCGAGCATCTGTGGGGTAAGCTCAACATTTAGAGAACATCCTTCAATGACTCCTTTTGGAAAAAATAAAATAGTAACACGTGAGACCAACCACTCCGACGGGCCTGGTGTCAACCGTCTACATCACTATAGAGTCTCAAATGATGGCGTATGAATAAAATAAACAAAAAGGAAGAAAGAAGAGGGAGACTAAGGGGGTGGAGGATTAGGAAAACTGCAAACAGAAGCAGAGAAGAAAAGAACGAAAGCAGAGTGAGCACAGGACAGCACATTTATACTTCACCAGTATCCCCAGGGTCAGAGGTGGTTAAGTCTGCTCCTATGTTCACAACATGGGTTAGAAGAAATAATGAAGCTGCTGACAAATGCCAGCCAACGGAGGAGGAAGTAACCCGCATCAGCTTCCACTGTGAGGCTGGGAAAAGCAGTTCTACCCAGCAGTCGGCGGTCAGGGGAGGAGGAGGCAAGCAAGCAGGTCAACGCAGCTTGGTGGGCCCCAGCTCACACCAAGCCAGTCACTCCCCTCCTCCGCCTGACATGACAACAGAAATCTCCATCGTAACTGGAGGGAATGATGCTGAGTGAAGTCAATCAGAGAAGGACAAACAGTATACGGTCTTATTCATTTGGGGAATATACAAAATAGTGAAAGGGAATAAAGGGGAAAAGAGAGAAAATGAGTGGGAAATATCAGTGAGGGAGACAGCACATGAGAGACTCCTAACTCTGGGAAACAAACAAGGGGTAGTGGAAAGGGAAGTGAGTGGGGGGTGGGGGTGACTGGGTGATGGGCACTGAGGGGGGCACTTGATGGGATGAGCACTGGGTAATATGCTATATGTTGGCAAATTGAAAAATTTTTTTAAATCTCCATTGTTGAGCCAAGACACTGTCTCCACAGTATCTCTGACAAAAATGCAAATGCATCACATGGCAGAGAAAGAAAGCCACTCCCTCCTGTGACAAAGACACAGAAACCATCCATGAAGGCCTGAGCCCTGGGAGGGAAGGGCACTTGGGGGGAGCATGAGAGGAGAGCGATGGCTCAGAAAGGAAGTGAGGGTGCAAGGAAGTCACCCCACACAGAAGCATGGCTCCCTACCCAACAACACAGGAGAAAGTTCAGAGCAGAACCAATGAAATAGAAAGCAGAGCGAAGAAACTGAGAAAACCAATCGTTGGTTCTTCAAGATTGTTAAGATTGATAAAACTATAGACAGTATCACCCGGACAACGGAGAGAAGACACAAATGACCAGGAATGGTAGGCATGAGGGAGGTCACATCATGGGATCCCACAGATGTTTACATGATAAAAGAACACTATAAACAATTTCATGGGGCACCTGGGGGCTCAGTCAGTAAAGCTCCAGCTCTTGGTTTCAGCTCAGGTCATGATCTCAGGGTCATGGGATGGAGCTCCGCATGCAGCTCCACATTCAGCAAGGAGCCTGCTTCTCCCTCTCTCTCTCTCTCTCTGCCCCTCCTCCTGCTCCCACATGCCCACTCTCCATCTTTCTCTCTCAAATAGATAAATAAATCTTTTAAAAAATAAAAGGGAAATGACTTCATGCTAATAAATTCAACAACTAAAATGAAATGGACAAGTCAAAAGAGACAAACTAGCAAAGTTCACTCAAGAAGAAACAGACAACCCTAGGAGCCCTATACCCAGTGCAGCAGCTGGATTTGTAGTTAAAAACTACAAAGACTACCTTCCCACAAAGACAACTCCAGGCCCAGTTGGCTCCACTGATAACGTCTATCAAACATTTAAGGAAGAAATGATACCAAAACTAGAGAGAGACATTACAAGAATAAAAAGCTACAGACCAGCATCCCTCTACGGAACATAGACGCAAAAATTCCAAACAAAGGTTAGCAAATAAAACCCAACAATGCATAAAAAGGGCAGTATTTCACGAGTGGGGTCTGTCTCAGGAATGCAAGGTTGGCTTAATATGTGAAAATCAATCATGTATTCATAATATTAACAAACAAAAAATGAAAAGCCACATGATCATGCCAGCAGACACAGAAGAAGGCCTGCCAATTCTAATTTAAATCTGAATCCTACATCCCACGCTCAGGCCTGACCCAGCCACAGTGGGCACCATGTTTTATCTTGTCTGCCCTCAGCCTTCTCCTCCTCCCTGCTCTTCCAGGGCTGGGCTGGAGGGCATGGGAAGGACAGTGTCTACTGTGATTGGAGCCGCTGCAGCTGACTTCCTTAGCAGGTGTCCAATGTGGCAGGTGTCCAATCAATAAAAGACTAGTCTTTTAGCTCATTATTATATTATCCCCAGAATTATGGGTATGGCCCCCAAGAAACACAAAGACATGGTGTATTAAGTAATAGTAAGTAATCGATATGGGGGCACCCAGGTGGCTCAGTCAGTTAAGTGTATGCCTTCAGCTCAGGTCCTGGGATCAAGCCCCACATCAGGCTCCCTGCTCAGTGGGGAGTCTGCTTCTCCCTCTCCTCCCTGATTATGCTATCTTGGTCACACTCTCTCTCTCTCTCTCTCTCTCTCTCTCTCTCTCCCTCTCTCTCTCTCTCAAATAAATTTTAAAAATATTGTTTTAAAAAAGTAATCAGAGATGACCAAAGGGGGGTAAGGTAAGTAGTTTAGGTGAGCAGTAGAGAATAGCAAGAGAGAGACGTCCACCGGTATGACCTACAAACCTCAGCCCTGTGACTCTGGCCCTCCATCTTCGTATGGGACAGAAGGGCCCAGATCTTAATTTCAGGCTATCTTTAGGGTCCACTCATGGGAACAGATTTCTTGGACCAAATCTTCCTTCAGTCAAAGCTCATTCGAGGTTGGCTACACCACAGATACACGTCCCTGAAAATACTACACTCCCACCAAGACAGAATTTACATATCCAACAACAATAACACAATCTGCTTTCAGTGACTTCTCCCACCACTCGTGCTCTCTCTGACTCTCACTCTCTCTCTCTCTCTCAAATCAATAGATAAAATCTGAAGAAGAAGAAGAAGAAGAAGAAGAAGAAGAGGAGGAGGAGGAGGAGGAGGAGGAGGATCACACACCACCTCCCACCCTCTTTATTCAGGTGGCCCTGAACTTCTGTCACTGCTAGGAGTGTTTCTTGTTGGAAAGTTGCCCACTGCCCCGGCAAGTCACAGTTTAGGGTGGGTACATGACAAATATGACTTGATTCATCACGTGCCTTGCAATGCAGACCCTAAGGAAACAGCTCAATGCTTCTGAGGGCTCTTGCTTGAGACCTGTGCTGGAGCTCCTAGGCTGCCCTTTACTGGACCTCGGGCGCAGATTCCAGGGCACACAGAAGCCCTGCTTCTTTAAACTGCGGAGGGAGGGATCCCTGGGTGGCGCAGCGGTTTAGTGCCTGCCTTTGGCCCAGGGCGCGATCCTGGAGACCCAGGATCGAATCCCACGTCGGGCTCCCGGTGCATGGAGCCTGCATCTCCTTCTCTCTCTGCCTGTGCCTCTGCCTCTCTCTCTCTCTGTGTGTGTGACTATCATGAATAGATTAAAAAAAAAAAAAAAGATAAACTGCGGAGGGAGGGGACCAGCATGGATGTCTTCCTGGTACATGATACATGTCTCACCATGCAGCCGTCACACCAGTTCACGGAGCAGAAAATTCAAAATACCAAAACTACCACTGAGAGAAGCAAATACTCTTGAAATCTCACCTCTGAATACCCAACAAAATGACAAGTCTATGTTTAAAAAAAAATAAAAACCATATTACATCCTAAATATCAACAGGATATCTTGCTTAAAACCTAGCAATTTCTGTTGCTTATTTTAAAAAGTGGATCTCTTTTATACTTATTAAATGGAATTTTTTTTTTTTTTGCTAAGAATCAGGTGATGTGAACAGAGTGATGGAAAGCTCCACCCTATAGACCTTTCAAAAGTCTGTCAAGCACAACAATGTCGAGAACTGGGGCAAATCATTAAATTTAGCATGATAATTAGCTTCAACTTTAAGTGATGTAACTTAAAATAGCCTTTCCTGACGCCTGTCTATCCAAATCTCCCCAAAACAAAAGTGAAGACTTTCAATAAATAATTGCACAAGTGTGTCTCAAAGATGACGGTCTTCCTAACCACGGTCTTAGAGTATTTTTACTGACTTCCATCATATTACGAAGTGCTTTGATGAGTATGACAAGCTTGTACAATGGATTCAGGCTTTGAGAGCAGCATGCCCCTATGGGCATCGCCTACAAAATGCTGATTTTGTACAACTGACATGATTCAATACTGACACTAGACATTTTCCCAGGTCACCCCATTTATCCCATCTTTGATAATTAGCAGTGAATACTTACTTCCTTCAACTTTCTCATCTTTGTAGGTTTTCTGGGCACTATATGAATATAACTGCAAAAGAAGAAAGAAAAACCTAATTAGAAGGTAAGTATCTAAGTGGAAGACGGGAGCCTCTTCAAGAGAGGACTCCTTTTTGGCATTCCCATACGCGACTCCACAGCAACTTAAAACTAGAGTCAAGAGGAGCATGTGGGATGTTGACACCCAACAGCAAGGTCACCGCAGGACCATGTCACACAGCAGCTGCCATTGGCACCACCCACGGGAAACTGCCTCCTGAGTGACACTCTTTCCTTCCCATATCCTTAATAATCCAAAAGGAACTGTATCAATCATCTCATTCAACCTCCTTATTTACCAGGTCACCAAAGGGCCCAGAAGTGAGCTCACCCAGCATCCCTCCTGTGCAGCTCATCACCTGCACCACCACCACCCCCCATCACACAGAATTATATCATTGTCCCCATTCTTCCAAAAGTGAACACCAAGAAGAGTCACCAGCATAACACCTATGTGAGAACTTCCAGAGAGCTCTCCATATGCCTCAAAAATAGGACACATATTTTTTCATGATAATAAACACCTTAATTTTAATTATATCTTTCAAAGTCTCTTTCTGATTTAAAAAAAAAATTACATATCTGAGATTGGTGTTGTTGTCAACAGTTTTAGCAATATTCAGACAGGTATGGACCAAGAGTTGGCAGCTGGAAGGAAAAGGGAATTAAGTATTCAGTCGAGTCAAGAGTCACGAGCCAGATGCCTACAGAGGCCCGGCAGGTAATGACGATGCTTACACAGGGCAGCATTAGGATGCTGGGACTGTGGTGAGTGCAAGCCCACTTCCCATCTGAGCTGAGCAGAGCTCATTGCTCCAGGACGCTGTTTTCACATGGAAATGCAGACAACTAAAAACACTGTCCTTTTGAACAATCAAATCCTCTATTTTTTTTCAATAAAACTAAAATGTCGTGCTATTACATGAACACCCTTGCTATAAAACGTCCCAGCCAACTCACAGCTTTGAAACCCATGGGACCCAATCTACACGTGGCCGCCCCAGATCTCTGGCTTACCACCGCTGCTTGCAGCCTCCTCTGAGCTCTGCTTCCAGTTTTCACCCTCCAAATTCCATGTTTGACTATGAACACTAATCCCCAAATGGGACAACTTATTCTATCATTAAGTGGAAACAAAAAGTAAAAATAAGTGCCTGGGGCACCTGGGTGGTGCAGTCAGTGGGTGTCCAACAATTGGTTTTGGCTTGAGTGGTGATCTCAGGGTCATGGGATCAAGCCCCACATGGGGCTCCATGCTCTTCGTAGAGCCTGCTTGGGACTCCCTCCCCTCTACCCCTCCCACTCATGCTCACTCTCTCCCTCTCCCTCTGTCTCTAAAATAAATCAATCTTTTTTTGAAAAGTAAAAATAAATGCAGAAAAACTAAGGCATAAAAAATCCTACAAAAGCACAAATGCTGTCTATTGTTTCGAAGCTGGATTCCAAAGAACACACAAATACCACAGAAACAGAGAACAGATAATTCCTCAGAGGTGCAGTGAACTGGAATCATCAGGCTGGTGCTCGGAGAAGGCTATGGTGGGGCGTGGGTTTCCTTGGGGCTGGAGAGAGGGGAGCAGGCCTTTGAGCAGAGACTGGACATTACTGTGCAATATCCCTCCTTGCTGCTTCCAGAGAAAAATGAAAGGAAGAAGCCGCCTATTAGGATCCAGCCAGGCATTCACTAAATTTTAACAGCACCACATTGGCTATGAACTAACCCCATGTTATCGATGAGGACATGGGCCCTCAGCAAGGTCATTTAATTGGCTAAATGCTGAGATAGGAACATCCAGGGTTCAATTCAGCCCAGGTCTCTGTCCCTGAGTCCACATTTTTGATACTCTTTTCCTGCAGGGTACAAGCGGGAGGCAGGGAGACAGGAGTAATGTTTGGGTGCGGGCGAACTATGACAGTGTGATTTAAGGCTCTTTCATTTCAAATCTCAACAGCAAACTCATATGGCAAACAGGAAATTTTTGGTATAATCCAAATCCTATGGCGTCTCCTCCGAACACGTGCATGGACACGCACACACACACACACACACACACACACGTGCACACACACACAATGCCCTGATTTACATTGTTTTTGTGAATATGGCTTTCTCCACAAAAGAAACCATGAATTCTAGGTTTTACTAGACTTTTTTTAATGCAATTACTAGCCTATGATATTTTGTTTTATAGAAGGAAAACTTATGTTCTTCACCTCAAATTAATTCATTCCAGAAAATGTAGGAACTGTTTGAATAATGACTGGATTCTATACAGATTTTCAATGTACCATTCTGCAGTCATTATTATGCTCAGAGCCCCAGGATGGCTAATACATCATCAGATTTCACCGCAAAGTTCATTGGCTGGTGGCACAATTAGAAGATTATTTGCTGGAGAAAATTAATTTTAACTGCTCAGTGGCTCGGTAATTATAGAATACACATTCCAACAAGTGCTAGCTTACTGATACCAGCAGAAATCAAGCCAAAATATTTGTCAGAGCTTTATTCACCAAAATCTGGATTCTGATTTCATAGTTCATTGATCTAAAAAGTAGTGAAGAAAATGAAATTTAAATGTGTCTCCGTGATGAACTTCACGTGCAAACAGCATCCACCTACGTACAGCACTGAAGGTATATGGATAATGGCAGGGAATCAAGGCCACCACAGGAGAACCCCATCTGCCCTCCCCACCCCCCGTTGGCCAACTGGACCACACTGCCTCCCTCATGGAAAACACTAATGACAACCATTAAGAGATTTGGAAAGAGAAATGCCTCAAAGTCTCAATATTTCGGCCACATGTCCAAAGCTTTTCTTTTCTTTTTTTTTTTCCAAAGCATTTCAAATAAACTATGAGTTTCCCTACCAAATCAGGGATCTAATAGAGCCTATTAGAAAACGCCTCGACCCGCAGGACAGAGGAAAGAGGAAAATGTATTGAGCATGTTGCAGGCATGTTGGCCCGTGCTTCTCAAGCTTCCTTCCTCATCAGCTCACACATAAAACACACACTGATTTGACAAGGAGATGGGGGGGGGATTAATTACTTTTCATTATACATGCATTGAAAAGGATTTTAAAATCAATTTTTGTAGCAACATGTTCTCCTACCCGAATACTGGATTCTGGTAGGAAATCAGAATTCAGCATACGCAGTATCTAAGTCCGCTTGGGCTATGGTAGCAAAGACACCAGACCACGTGGCTTCAACAGCAGACATCAGGGTGCCAGAGTGGTTCGGTTCCGGCGAGGGCCCTCTTCCTGGTTCAGGGATGGCTGCCTTCCTGCTGTCTCCTCACCTGGCAGCAAGGGCAGCAAGCTCTCTGGGGTCCCTTTTACAAGGACACTAATCCCATTCATGGCCCGATCACTGTCATGACCCATTCACCTCCCAAAGGCCCCACCTCCTAACACCCACACTGAAGATTAGGTTTCAACATGAATTTGCAGAGGAAATTCATATAACCAACCTGAAAAAAATCATCACAAAATCAGACATCTCTATGGATACGTTCTTGCAGGCAGTTCCCACACACAAGATTATCATTGTAATGAACTTGACTCTAAAATGTCACGGCATTAGTCCAATACCTCTCAGCAACTCGGATGTCTGTGGATTAAGATTTTCCTTCAAAATCAACAGGATGTTAAATATGCATCTTTGCAGATGCCATTAAGAATTCAGATCACAAGCCAGCTTGCTCACAAAATTACACTATCTGGTGGTCCCGAAAATCTCACGTTACTAACTGAATCGGAGTGCTCTGAGGCTGGCAGTATTGGCATCACACAGATGAGCACAGATGCCCTCTCCAAAGAACCTCACCTTTGCCTCAGTCCTGGACGAATTTCCTCAGGTAAAATCCATATAAAAGGAATCACTTACAGGCAGAAAGTAAACTAACAAGGAGATCACTATCTCAACTGAGAGAAAACAACAAAAATAACAGAAACCGGGTTCCAACACAGCCACAGGAGGACAACATTTCAATAAAAGGCAAGCCTGGAAGTACATGCAAGACTGAGAAACTCGAAAGAGTGACGTACGTGATTTGAAAAAGAATGAGGTAGAATTTTTTGAAATGAAAAAGTAAGTAAATTTGAAACTCAGTGAACTGGTTTGATGGCATCTTACACACAGCAGAAAAATTAGCCAAAAGACTGATGTGTACAAAGTACCTAAAGAACAGCACAAAGATAAAAGAGAGAAATTCGGGACAGAGAGGAAGATGCCTGGAGCTTAGCATCAGTGAGAAAGGCCGATCCACGTTGACTCTGAGGCAGGAAACACAGAGAGAAGACGAGGCATCCTCTGAAGACACAGTGGCTGATGAGTCACCACACCGGACTCCAGAGGGTTCGATCAATCTGCACTTGGACGTATCGCTTAAACCACAGTACAGAGGTCAAAAAATATATTTTTTAAAACAGAAAAGATAAAATATTACTTTCAAATAAGTAAATTATGAGAACTGATTTCTTATCTGCAATCTTGAAGTTAGAAGTCAATAGAAAAGTACCTTCTGGGGCACTTAGATGGCTCAGTCCATTAAGCGTCCAACTCTTGGTTTTGGCTCAGGTCATGACCTTAGAGTGGTGAGATCAAACCCCACGTTGGGCTCCACGCTCAGCAGGCAGTCTACTTGCGATTCTCTCTCTCTCCCTCTGCCACTCCCCTAGCTCGTTCTCTCTGTCTCTCTCTCAAATAATATCTTTAAAAAAGAAAAAGAAAAGAAAAGAAAAAAAATACCTTCTGTGGACTGAAGGACACTGTCATCCACAGGAATCAGACATCTATAAAAACGTATATGAAGAAGGAGGGAGACAAGGCTTCCACCCCTCGGAACCATGGACTAAGTAACTCTGATCCACCTGTCCACTAAAAACTAATAAAATTGAACAAAATGAAAACATTTACTTGAAACATAAGACACCTCACAAGGATAATGAGGAATTACTGGGCCAAGATCCAGGAAATAAAGGAATTCCAAACATGTGGGCCCAATACCTGGCGTCCCTTCATCCCAGAGCTTTCTCTTCAACTGTGGACAGATGGCTGAGAGGTTGAACCGTGTCCCTGACAGGCTCTGTGGCCAGCAGCCAGAAGCACTTGCTCAGGGCACACGAGCGCTGGGGCTCCTTGTGAACTACCTTTCTCTGTGAACTGGGACCCGAGGGGGGGGCCATCTTGTCTTCAAGTCTTCAGGATGGCCCAAGTGATCTTACATTCTAAAGGTGTATTAAGGTGATCAAGAACCGTTGATGACAGCTATCTGGCCCAAATACACAAAAAATCAACTTTGGCCAAAGACATATCACCCTAGGCCTCAAATTATTTCCCCAAATAAGTTTTGAAAGTACTGCCCAGCACACAGAGATAACTAGGCAGACAGAGAAGACGGCATGACAGAGAAACAGCAGCAACAACACACACACTGTAGCATCAGCTGGGCTCCGTCCCAGATCCCCGGTGCTAAGGAGAGCCAGCTGCTAAGTCACCTACGGAGGGGCTCCCACAGCAAGAATGAAGCTTCCGGCCTCGGCCCTGGGAGCGAACCTGGAAGCACCCACCCCAGTCAGGCCTTCAGATGATGGTGGCCAGCATGCTGATTACAACCTCAGGGGACTCTCTGAGCCAGAGCCACTCAGCTAAGCTGGTCTTGAATTCCTGATCACAGAAACTGTAAGATAATAAAGCTGTTTTGAGCCAAAACGCTTGGGGTGGTTGGTTATACCACGGTAGATCACGAATGCACCCCCCTGGAGAGAGTCTTACCCACGTGGACCAGCAGCCACGCAAAAGAACGTCTGCAACGCTGTCCTTATTTATTTCAGCATAAAATTTAGAACAACCCAAGTCAACCATCAACAGATTGGACAAGTGAACTGGTACTTTAGTCAATCAAAGAACGCATGTCAGTAAAAGTGAATGACCTACCGCTACACACTATTGACACGGATGAACTTCACAGCCTACTATCGGGTGAAAAAGCAACCAGCAGAGAACTGTATACGATTTGATCGCATTTACATAAAGTACACAAACGTGAAACATTGAAAAATCTGTCCTTTGAGGATTGATTATCATGAAAGGATGATTCAGTGGCCAAACTAGTGGTGGTCACCTGTGGGAAAAGGATGGGGACGGAGGTGGCAGGTTTTCAAATCCAGTCATGCCTTCTCTTGCTCCAGAGTGGTGTTTACACAGTTTTACTTAAACCATAAACTATAAAGCGCTCCCAGCCTCTACAGCACCCCAACTCTGCACCACCGGAAGAGGTGAACAACAGGTACTTGTTGGAGAACCGCAAGCTTGAACTTTGGGTTTTGAAGACATTTGTATAATGACAGTTGCTAAGAAAGTTTAGAAATAAAGGAGATTACTCTCGAGAAGAAAAGTATGAGTCTAAAGGGAACTACGCTGTGTTCCTCCATATGCAATGAGATCTGAAGGGGATTGTAGTGCCAGGGTCGGGCTAAGCCAAAGAGAATCAAACTGACATTTTGAGTGGACACCATCCAGTACAACTAACAAGTTGAGTACGGCCGACCGATTTCCATCAGGACTTTCTGCAGTGGCCCCGGCATTTACACACGGCCACCTGCCAGGGACAGCTAACATCCCTCCAGCTGGCTGTCTTGATCTCAACAGCAGATACGTTTGCTCTCCGCAGATATTCAAGGCCTGTACTGTTGCCAGCACCGCACGATGTGTCGGGATTCTGGAGATGACGGCCCAGCCTAGCAGGGGACGCGCCTGGAGGCCCATGATCACACTGCGTTCCTGCGGCCAGGCCAGGCCAGGACAGCAGCACAGCAGCCTGGGGCAGCCACTTGGGGGTGACCCAGGTGGGAGTCCCGACTTCCAGCCTGCTTCCCCAGCTCTGCGTATGGCTAACTCCCTTTCTCCCCCCAGATCTTTGAGCCAAAATTGCCTTTCCAGAGAGGCCTGCCCTCATGGCCACTGCCCGCCCACTCCTCTTCCCCAGGCCCTTTCTGATGCTAACACAGGTGCTGCCGGCAGGTGGACCCCAGCCCTCACCGCGGCCCACCAGGAGGAGCCGGCTGTGTGCACAGGAGTGCTGTCCGCTGGGGAGTCACCAGGTACAGAAGGTGACAGGTGTGCCTCACGCTACTGCGCTCTAGCCAGGTCACTGCACGGAGGATGACAGGTGCGCCACCCACACTCCACGGGTCAGGCTCAGGGAGGGCAACAGGTGCGCCCCACGGTCACCCGGGTCAATGCGCACCGAGAGGAGGGCGACAGGTGCGCCCCCACGCTCGCGCCCTCGCGGGGTCAGCACGCACCGAGGGCGGCAGGTGGGCCCCGCGGCCACCGGGGCAGCGCGCACCGAGGGCGGGGCGGCAGGTGCACCCCCACGCTCGCGCCCTCGCGGGGTCAGCGCGCACCGAGGGCGGCAGGTGCGCCCCCGCGGCCCCCGGGGCAGCGCGCACCGAGGGCGGGGCGGCAGGTGCGCCCCGCGGCCACCGGGTCACTGCGCACCAAGGGCAAGGCGGCAGGTGCGCCCCCGCGGCCCCCGGGTCAGCGCGCACCGAGGCGGGGCGGCAGGTGCGCCGCAGAGGGCGCCGGGGGAGGGCCGCACTCACTCGAGCTTCTTGAAGGGCTCGCGGCCTGCCGCCACGTACTTGCCGCCCGCCTGCAGCGCCTGCAGCTCCAGCACCCGGTGCCCGCGCGTGGGCGTGAACAGGCGCCGCACCCCGAACGGCACCTCCACCTGCTCGGTCAGCTGGTCCAGCAGCGCCTCGAAAGTGGCCGCGCGGCGCCGCGACAGCACGCACCTCCGGCCCGCGAAGAAGGCGTCCCCGTTGCGGTACACCACGATGGCCTTGGCGGGCGCGCTGTCCACCAGCGCCGGCGGCCCGCGCCACCCCATGGCCCCGCCGCCCGGGTCACCCGCCGCCGCCACCGCCACCGCCCGCGCTCCAGCCCCCGGGCAGCCAGGCGTGCGCGCCACGCCTGCCATTGTGACCACCCCCGGCCTGCAGCGGTGGGGGGGAGGGGGCGGGCGTCTGAGAGCCTAGGGAGGGGAGGGACAGGTGGAGAGTGGGGCAGGGGAGGGGGAGGTAGAGAGGGGGAGGGGGAGGGGGAAGGAGGGGGTAGGGGAGGGGGAAGGAGAGCGGGGAGGGGGAGGGGAGGGGAAGGAGGGGGGGCAGGAGGGGAGGGGGAAGGAGAGCGGGGAGGGGGAGGGGAGGGGGAAGGAGGGGGGGCGGGAGGGGAGGGGGAAGGAGAGCGGGGAGGGGAGGGGAGGGGAAGGAGAGCCGGGGGAGGGGCAGGGGGAGGGGAGGGGAAGGAGAGCCAGGGCAAGGGAGGGGAGGGGGCATCAGGAGCCTAACAGGTGGGGGGGGGCAGAGCTCAGGGAGAGGGAGGGAGGCGCCACCCTCCTGATTTCCCTCCCTGCAGCCTGGTAGGAGCAGAGGGCACCGAGGATCCCCCCCCCACTCACCACCTTCCAGCGCCAGTGCCCTGTGCGGAGAGGCTGGGGTTGGGGCGGGGGCATCGGGCCCCTCTTGCTTTTTCTTTTTCTTTTTAAAGATTTTTATTTTTTCACGAGAGAGAGAGAGAGAGAGAGAGAGAGAGAGGCAGAGACACAGGCCCAGGGAGAAGCAGGCTCCATGCAGGAGCCCAAGATGGGACTGGATCCCTGGGTCACGCCCTGGGCAGAAGGCATGTCCCAAACCGCTGAGCTCCCCCCCACCCACCCCCCAACGGCATCCCAGACCCCTCTTGTGAATCACAGTCGTGTCCAGGAAGACCTGTGTGGGCCCCACATGTGGGAAGGTGAGTTCCTGGTCAGCTGGCACCCGGTTTCTCAAATGTCTACCTCGGAAGGCACCTTCATTTGGGGAACACCAATTCCAGGGGGTGGGTGTCCTTGGGGTTCATTCCCTGTCCTGGGAGAGGACACCCGTCCTCCTGAGCCCAGACCAGGCATTCCAGACTTGGTGTTCCGGGGGCTTGGATGAGCTCGAACTTGCAAAGGCGATGGGCCTGAGGACACCGGCTGCCAAGGCCACCTACGGGCGCACGGAATATACTGTAAATACCGGCATCCTGTGTTTCTGACAGGGATCTTTCCCCACCCGCTGCCTCCCCGCGCAGCCCATGCGGAAGCGCCCACACCTCCCTGCACCAACGTGTCAGAGCGACCCCTTTATTAAATCCCCGGGGATTACATCCATCTTAAAAACATTGATTGCTGGAACCCTCTTCGGTTTTCGGTGTTAAAAACACTTCCGGAGGGGCGCAGGGCTGAGTCATCCCCGGAGCGCTGGGCCCCGCGGAGTCAGAGGTTCGCCCGGAAGCCCACTTTCACCGAGAACCTCATGGTGGGCCTCTCCCGGGGCCGCAGGAGGCAGATGGAGCTGGGGAAGCCCTTGAGCCGCAGGCGGCTGACACCCCCGTCGGGGGCGATGGTGAGCCTCGCGTGAGTGATAACGTCCTGGAGCTCCAGGGTCAGGCTGTGGAACAGGTGACTCTGGTCGGCCAACAGCTGGAAGAGGCAGGGAAAGGGCCTGGGGGTAACGCAGCGCGAGGAGGCCCACGCGGCCCACGCGCGGCCCGGCTCACCTGGCCGGCTCACCTGGGCCATCCCTCTGGGCGCGCTCACGGCTCAAAACCAGGGAAGTTACTCACTGACAACAGGCCACTTGGCCCCCGGGAAAGCTAGGCTAGCAGGGATCGCATGGTCTGGCAATAGGGACCTGAGCTCGCTGGCCCATGGTGTCTGTGGTTCTTAATGGTTAGTGAAGCGGACACACCGACAAGGAAAAGAAAGTAAGAAGCAAGCATGTTGGTGCCTCCCAGAGGTCCTGACCCCCTGCTGTGACCCGAAAGTGACTACCTCCCACGGATCGAAGAGGACACTTCCAGAACATCTCAGCATCCATCCCACAGGACACACTATTATAGCCTTAAATATGCTAGTCACCCCTTCTAAAAAGTCAATATACTAAAGAAACATTTTCTGTGTGTGTGTGTGTGTGTATGGAAATACAGAGTATATATGGAAATATATAGGAAATATAAAGAGTATATATATTCTTTGCACATGATGGTTTAAAAGAAATCTTGGCTGTTAGAAATGCAAAGGTATGAAAAACGAGAGCCTCTCTTTTATTACATGAACCCACAGATATGTTTGGAAGCTCCTTCCCTTTACTGTTGAACGGAGCAGAGGGTTTGGCAAGCGAATCCGAGGGAAGGGGCCGGGCTGGGGCGAGCCTGCACAGCCCCCATGGGTGCCCTACCTTCGTGACTGGAAGCAGCGGTTTCCACTTCTGGCCGGGAAGCTCCCATTTCTGCTTGATCATGTCCTCTTCCTCCTGGGTCGTCAGGATGCAACCGTCCAGCTTACAGCTGTCGGGAGAATTGCCTGTCGGAGCAAACGCACAGTGACTCTCCCTGCTGTTGGTACTCAGCGGTTTGGCTTACAGGGTATTGGACCTTTTCATCGAATCAAAGACCCAGCAGAGAACAAACTGTCTCTGAACAACACCCAATGTGTGACACACGTGAGAGAAGGAATGTACCCAGTCATGACGGGCTTGGATTGCCGGATGAAATCCAGGTGTGTGTTTTTCAGAGGAATCAAAATCGGCCTGACATACGTGAACGGGCTGGTGCGTCCGAGTTTGGATCTGAGTTTACTTGGAAGGTTGAAGGTATCTTCATTAAGCACCCTAGATTGCACAGCTAAATACTTGGGTACAGCCACGTGGCTCGCCTGAAGCTATTATGAGGCTGGAAGACACTTTCCTTATGGCATCATACTCAGTCATGCAAAGCGGAAAGGAAGACCGAGCTGAGTTAACCGGTCAGTGCGTGGCGCCAACCCGAAGTGCTGTGTTCCGGGGTGTGCTAAGTGCTCCCTGGGTGAGACACAGGGTCCTGAGTCTCTCTCCTCTCTGGAATGTCATCAGGGTTGTGCCCAGTGGGGTTGCAGGACCACACTCTTTGTGGGGAGAACCGCCTTAGGGGTCCCCTAAGACTTGAAGATCGGATCGGCAGAGGAAGGATTGAAACAAAATCTGCATCTGACCTCTCAGGTGAGAGGGCTCGCTCCTGGGTACACGTGAAAACCCAAAAGATGCAGGAGGGGAACATTAAAGTCACTATTTCTGTCTTTATTTCTTTAATATCTACCCAATACGTGCATATCAAGGTTTGTGTACTTGAGATTTCAGCTGGTACAGCACGCCCCCCCCATCCCAGGCCTGGCCTCACGTTGTGATGGACAGAGCCCAGAGAGCCAGCAGAGCCAGCAGCAGCAAACTCAAGACGGTGCAGGCCAGCCCCCTGGTTACACGGATGTACTGACTGTGACCTGGGCCTAATTAACCTCTCGCTCACAAAACTAACCAGTGATGTTGAACTACCCATGCAGAGCCCCGTGGATGAAAGATGCCGCCAGAAACACAAGCATCCACGAACCGCAAGAACAGAGCGGAGCTGACATCGGCCCCTGACCCAGGGGGAGCTCTTCATCAGCTGTGTCGAAAAGTGAAAACAGTGACCCGATAATCAGATCTAAAATAGTCTTCCAAAAAAGGGGTCCCAATGACCCATACATCCTGAAATCATTAAATCCACGACCACTGAAGAAGAGCTTCCCTGCCTTGGTTTGGTAGTTGGCGCTTGAGCGAAGTCACAGTGATTCGCGAGACATTTAAACATCGAGACATCCGAAATATGAAAATAAATTGCCACTGTTTACTGACAACTAAACAACCATGGGACACCCAATCCAGTAGGTATGTAAATCTCACCCAACAGGTTTCATAACTGCTCTTGAATGTTGTCAATATGATGACATGTGTATACCTTTCCTAAGAAAGTAGGAATTGAATATCAGGGGTGCTTAGTGCCAATATTTTTTTACTAATGGAAGAGCATGGTTTTGGAAATGTGTAGCTTCCTGCCTTAAAAGTCCAGTCTGGAGCGGACATGGTCGCCCCCAACCACCTGCCCCAGTAAGATGATGCCCCATCCAGTTCTTCCTGTGTCCTAATCACTATTTCACACTCTTTCCAGTGAGACCCAGGGTCCCCGTAGTGAAGAGTCCTACAGCATCACAGAATCTCATCCAACTTTGGGGGAGGGAAGGATCATCCAATTCTGACATTTTATAAAGAAAAAGTAAGGTACCAACAGTTCATGGATATTGCTCAAAACCGCACATCATCTGAGTGTTGAAGCTACATCCCGAGCCCACCGCCCTGAGCTCTGCTCCCACAGGACCGTGTCAGCTCCGTAACCAGCACTCCATTAGATGCATTTCCGGACGGCTTTGCATTTACCTTTAAAATATGTCGTATCAATTTCAATTTGAGTTATTACTCCAGGGTGTGCCAATCTGAAAACGGCCCATTCAGAACCCGGAACCAGGAGAACGCCATTCTCATCATTCTGGAATCCAAAAGGAAAAAGGAAAAAAAAAAAAAAAAGATAAGCCAGCATGGTGCCTTTGGAAAAACGAATTCTGAAAACCAGCAAGTGAAAAATGTTGACACATACTTGTGATATTTATTTCTTACTATAAAAGAGTGTTTCCCATGCCAATACGGAAATTACTTTTTGTGTTAATGGCCCCTTGGCCTATTATTCCTTAAATGCCTCATACGGACTCATGAGTTTAGGGTACTTGGTAAGTTTTCATCTGTTTTTTATATGATTTTCTAGGTCGATTATAAATTCGTGCATGATGGGACCCACAGGAGGGGGTCTGGGTCTAACCCAGCCCCGGGTCCTCTAATCAATTTGTTTTGACCTTTTGAAGTAGTTAAGTTCTTGGTCAAATCTATACCAGTACATGATCTGCCTCCAAATGTTCCTTTACAGTAGAAGTGTTGGCTGACATGAAAACTAACCCAGGAAACGGGTGTTCACCAGTTAAGTTCTCAGTGGGATTCACACACTGAAAGGTGTTTTGTTTTGCTTCGTTTTGACTTTTCACGTCTCGCAGTAGACGCTGGCCAGACTGGACGGCTGAGCCAGCTCTAGAGTCCCCAACCTGCCATATCCACAAAGGTGGTCTCATCCAGGGACACACAGATACCAAAAATGATTCAACCAGTGTTTGTTTTGTTTTGTTTTTTTCCTCCAGGTCAACCAGTGAATTTATCCATGGGTTTTCTATCATTAAACTGTAGATCCTTGTTTCTTTATGAAAGAAACAGGGACATTGCAAAATGGGTTGGAGTGGCTGGTGTGGCCAGTGCGGGGCCTCCTGGGTCCTGCCGTGACCATACAGTGAAGCAGCAGAGGATCCAGAAAACACAGTCTTCTTCCAGAACATTGCCTGAGAGGTTCTGAAATAAGCATTTCCTTGCTGTCAATTTAAAATGAGATATAGGGCAGCCCGGGTGGCTCAGCGATTGAGCCCCTGCCTTGGGCTCAGAGAGTGACCCCGGGGTCCTGGGATCGAGTCCCGCATCGGATTCCCAGCATGGAGCCTGCTTCTCCCTCTCCTGTGACTCTGCCTCTATCTCTGTGTCTCTCATGGATAAATAAAATAAAATTAAAAAAAAAAACAAAAAATAAATAAATCGAGATATAGGGAACTTTACATCGTGGCTGTTTTGAACTTCTTACCTCTAATACCGGCGGCCTGTCCAGCCTTCTCGCCGTCTCCCAGCCGTCTGCCATTGACCTGGCCTTGCCGACTCCTGCCAGGCATGACATGGTTTAACGGGAATGTCACAGGATTTTATCTTAAATGTGAGCATGAATGCACTGGCGTAATTTTACATTCCAGACCCCACGCGCCCAAGCATTGCTACGTAAGTCATTTTCATTCAACTTAGTGCTTTGTTAAATTCACATACAGCCAGAGAGTAAGTTTTCCTTTTCCCTTCAAGTCAAAATTAGGAAGGAAAATCACATTGATTCACTTCACATCATAAAGGCATCAAATCCTGTGTATGGACCGTTGATCTCGCCCACTCCTGGGATTTGAGACGGCACCTTCCTCTTAAATCATTCATTCCATATGAGGGTGCTTAATGCTGGTGCCCAGACACCCCAAATAAACACCAGCTCCCAGAGCATCGTCTTACCGATCATATTGTTTGGATGCCCGAAGTGTGCATTGCTGTATCCTACACAGGTGCCCCCGTAAGCGATGGCTACTAGGTCAAATGGTTCTTTGGGGTCGGTTGCAGTCCAGTCTTTCTGCCCCATACCGTACACTCTAAGACGTGCGATTCCACCATCTGAGGAGGAAAGAGGCCGGAGTTATTCCTTACTTGGAAAGATGAGTCTTTGTGGTTCATGACCAACAAAGCCCTCCGTAAACTGCCTGCTCTGATTCTCAAATACACCAACCCTCCTGCCTCAGGGTCTTTGCACCTGCCATTCCTTTGTACTGAACAACTTCCCCAGCTCTCCAAAAGAGCCTCCTTGTTGTTAGGTCTCACCTTCAGTGTCTTGGTCCCAAAAAGGCTTTTCTTCTCAGCTGGTTAGATCTTTCCAGCTCTGCCCAGCCCTGCCCGATTCCCCAGGTTGAGGTGTACAATCCCCACCTCCCGCATATTTATTTCAGAGCTCAAATCACAGTATGAAATTATCCTGTCATTTCATTTGTTTAAGCCCCTACTGATATCAGAGGCCCAGAACCAGGATATAAAATTTTTGACAGCCAGAATAATGATCTATCTGGTTCTCATCTCTATCATCTCTTAGAACCAGTCCTGGCACATAGTCGGTGCTCATATTGCTCATATTTTTTACAGGATTAATAACTCCAAGAAGGTCAAAAAGCGATTGGGAAATTCACCATAGATACAATGTTTGATGCCACAGATTACCATTGCTAAGTCCCACACAGGCTCATGCAAGAGCCTTATGTTTTTATTTTTATGACAACACATTACTTAGCAATATGACTGAGAACAGAAAAGATAATATTCACAAAACCAGATCACTTCCGAGAACCACAGCAGCCAACATTAGGTCTGCAGAGCAGAGAGTAGTTGCCAACATCAACTCACATTATCTGATTCTAATAAGGTGAATATTTTTATTTGTTTAAATAGTACTTCCTAGAAGACAGGAGCAAGCTTTTTTCATTAATCGGAATATTCTACTGAAACCAAGCCCTATATATTTTTACATGAAAAATTTGATGAAACTGAGCAATTTAAAAAAATTTCAGAACATTTTTTTAGTAGACCAGTCTTGACATTTACAATAAATAAAATCAAACTGAGCTAGCATAAAACCCTAAAAAAACATACTAGAGGGAGTAATTTAGCAGGAGCTAACCTAGGAGAACCACTGCTCTGGTTCACTGGACTTCGTGATCCACTTTGATGGTATAACAGACACTTGTCTGTTGAGTGTAAAGTTGATTTGAAATTAAAAAAAAAAAGATTCTTCTTTGCAGAGTTAATATCCAGCCTCCCTTTTAATCAAAACTATCAAGGATATTAAATATACCCCTCCATGCTCTGAAAAAGTAAACTTTGCCACCCTATGTGTCCCATCAGGTTGTCCTACTGCTTCCATCCCCTTTATAACTGGACAGAAGAAAATATTTGCAAATCATACATCTGATAAAGGATTTGTATCTAGGATATATAAAGAACTCTTAAAATTCAATTAAAAAAACCAACTTAAGGATGGGCAAAAAACACTTTTCAAAAAAAACACGTTTATATATACATGTTATATATGTAAACATATACAAATGGCCAAGTAAGGAACTGAAAATGTGCTCCCCACCATTAGTCATTAAAGAAATACAAATTAAAACCACAATGAGATACCACTTCACATCCTCTAGGAAGGCTACCGTCAAAAAGTTAGATAATAGTAAGTGTTGGCAAGAATGTGGAGAAACTGGAACCATCCAAACTGCAGCTGAGAATGTAATACGGTGTAGCCGTTTTAGAAAACAATCTGATCGTTCCTCCAACAATTAAGCATACAGTTATCACAGGACCCAACAATCCCAGTCCTACATACATCCCCAAATGAAACACTCGTGCAGGAATATTTATCGCAGCACTATCCATAGGCAGCCAACAGTGGAAACAACCGTGATGTCCACCAACGGACCAACTGTATGAACAATGTGGTTCCTCCGTGCGATGGAATATCCATTCTGCCGTGAAAAGGAATGATGGACCCCTAACAATGCTACAACACGGATGAACCCTGAAAACATGCTAAGTGGAACAAGCGAGTCACAAAAGACCATTTACATGAAATGTCCAGAATAGTCACCAATGTCCAGACAGAAGGTAGATTAATGGTTGCTTAGGGCTGATGGAGATGAGGGTTGATAGTTATAGGATGGGATCTCTTTTTGAGGTGATAAAACATTCTAAAATTGACTGTGGTGATGGCTGCACGTTGCTATATATTTCCGTAGACTTTAAATTGTCCATATATTGACATATACTATAAACCGCTAAACTGTGCATTTCAAGTAGGTGAATTGCATGACATGGGAATTACATTACAATAAAGCTGTTAAAAAAAGGAAAATGAGGGTCATTTGCATGCACTACTTCATCTGCTAGTGCATCCGGCAAGGGAGAAATCTTTAGGAGATATTTAACCTAATACAGCTTAGTTCTTTCATATCCTAATTGACCCCATACTTTTTCCTTTTTTTTAATACTTTATTTATTTGAGAGAGAGAGAGAGAGATCAAACACGAGTGGGGGTTGGTGGGCAGAGGCAAAAGGAGAAGCCGACTCCATGTGGAGCAGGGAGTTCAATGTGGGGCTCAATCTCGACCCTGGGATCATGACCTGAGCCAAAGGCAGACACTTTAACTGAGCCATCCAGGTGCCCCGACCTAATGCTTTTTCAATAACTACCAATGGATGGTTGAGTTGGAATGAGAATTCCCTAGAGCACAAAAACGGCAAATTATAACCCTAAAATGCTAGAGCGATGAGTGACTTCACTCTGATACATGACTCATGTTAAGAAGCCACAGACTAGCAGATGAGTCCATGTCATACTTACCTGGGAAAATGTTGAGTCTTATGTGACTCCATCTCTCCTGAGAATTGACAGCAAAATAATTGTGGCTGGACGCAGGCTTTCCTGGTTTAAGCTCTGTCATGGGGACCAGGTAATTCCAGTCATCAGACTTTAGCTAGCAATAAATATAAAAATGTTAGCAGTGGCTCCAGGGAACAATAAATTCTCTCTCTCATCCTACGGCTCGTGTGGGATCTACAGGATACAAATACTTTGGCATAAAAATTGATGATGGATGCCTAATAAAATACTTTAATAAAAATACTAATAAAGATTAAGTCCCAGGTCTAACAAACAGAATAAAGGCTTAAGGGTTTTTTTCATCCTGATGAAATGATGGTGGCCAGAGAACAGGCAGGAGGGTTGGGAACTGAAGGACACCATCTACGATTCCCGCTGGGGATTCTTAGAAGAAACCAGAATTTTGACATGAACATTCAGTAAAAAAACAACCTGTTCTCTTAGGCCCTGAGACCTGAGGTTGACCAGTTGACCTGAATGTTGTGATCATTTCTTCTAGGTCAGTGTTCCTCAAACTTAAGGACCTGTGTGGCTGCCATTATTTATTTTCTAGTCTGCTACGATCGACACTTTTGTAAGGCACGATATAAATCAATTACTAGACAAACTTTAAAAAACAAGAGTGTGCCAGAACACAAGCCCATGTTGTTTATCAGATTCATCAGGCATAAGATTGCTTTGTCAAACTGCTGTAAAAGGTACCTGAACTCTTACTGCGGATTTCTATATTAATCTCATCCGGGCAGCATCCGGCGGATGAGCACAGGTAAGCAGAGCGCCCTGAGACACGCTACTCTAGACCTCGCGGGGCCCATGCCACTCCCTCGTGCGGGGTTGCATGAACCACTTGCGAAGCATCTGCAAGGTCTGCGGGACAAGTAAATGAGGGGAAGTGTGCCTGGGGTTCAGCGTCCTCAGGAAGCACCCTCGTGGCCTGGCATGCAGAGTGGTGTCCTTGCCACCCCAGCCACCATGACAAGCCCCCATCCTGTTTGCAGGCATACCTCTGCAACAGCCTCAAACTCCTCCGGCGTGGCTGCGGCTCCCATCCTGACTCCTCTTTGTGGGATCTCTGGTTGTTTATCTGAAGGTAGATTGACCAGTAGGGTTATGGTCGGTGTTCAAAGTCAAAGAGAGTATACTCTCTTAGTGGGCTGTATGCTCACTTTCATTTTGCCAGATAACCCCATAGATATCATTTCCTAAGTCAAAGTATCAGATGATCCAAGTAATAGACACACTTGAAGCTCCTCAATATTTAAAACACTACGTAATTCCAAAAAGTGCTGCAAAACATCTGGTAGGACGTCTGCTTGTCAAAATAGTACACACCATCTCCAAGTTAAGTCCAACTGCTACAAATTTATCACATGAGTAGAGTTTTTAGAAGCCGGATCAACGGACATTCTGGCACATTTGCCAGGTCCGTTCCAGAAGCAGGATTTCCCCTCCACCCCCACATGGCATCCTTGGAATTGACACTTGGGCGATATCCCAGACAGTTGCTGGCTTGCGGGAGGCATCTTAAATATTGTCATTAGTCATTTCCTGCCTCCACAGTAGCATCTCTCCATCATCACCTGACTCTTCGGCTTCCCCCCACTGTCGTCAGGAGCAAGGCCCATCTTTCCACAGAGCCTCGTACAAGGCTGGGACACAGTGTCTCAGCGTAAATTTGCCAACTGGCATGACCTATCTTCCCTATGTACATGCGTATACACACACATAATGGCACTTGTTTCTTTTTTTAAAAATGCTGGGACCAGCATCAGATTGTGCCAGTTGAAGGAATAACAACAGTCTAACTTACCGAGCCTGTGGGATTCACCTGGTCCAGCATCCCACAAAGCAGCAAGGAACCCTTCCTGAAAACCCCATGGTTACCGCACCGTTACGCACGCTGGGGTAGCCACAGAGAAGCCGATGCCACCTGTCCACAGCTGGCCCAGACCTAGCTCCACACTGTCCCGGTGGCCCACTCCCTGCCACCCTCCCCTGCAACCTATTTGTCAAACCTGGCGGTGCCAGGAGGATGTGCCTCTGGGTGAGGCCTGAACAGTGTGGGAATAACAAACCCTACATTTGGTCAAGCTAAAAATCAAACATCACAGAACACCGTATCGGGAATCCAAGTTCTAAAGCCCCTAGTGACATGGCCTCAGACAAGTGGCTGAACCTGTCTGGGCGGAAAGTGCACGTCAGCAGGCTGGGCCGATGGGCCCCACGACCCCACAGCACCCATTCTGGGTTCTCAAGGCACCTTCTTCCAGGTTTGCTGCTTGAATTGACATTCGAGGAGCATAATCTCCCATGAAGTAAGAAATATCCACATCGAAGCCCCGGATAATCCCTTGTATCCCCAGCTTGATGATGCACCAGTCGTGACCTACAAGACGGAAAAAGGACATCCCGTCAGGTTTAACTCGGAAGACAAAGCGTGTGATTGAACAGAACTGAAGTGAAAACAACAGCGACATCGTCCTCCCACCACGAAAAGTGCACACAGGTCAACTCCCAGCTATGACTTAAAGATCCCCCGTCACGTGACCACACGAGGCCACTATGTCCCATGAGAACCCCTGTTCCAGTCACAGCAGGACACGTGTAGGCCTTGAATCCGATTCCGGTTTCCAAAGTGAAAATTGGCCTTTCTGAGCCTCGTTTCTTCAACTGTGAATCAGGGGCGAGAACAGCTTCCCTGAAGGTCAGATGTGACTGTGCAGTGTAGACGACACTGGCCCGGCTCGGCAGGTGCTCAGTGTGGATCCGGGCGTCCTGGAAACGGCACACTCACCATCATCTCACAGTCTCAGGACTTCCTGGGGGGCCCCACCCGGTTCACCCCCTGCATCTGCTAAGTTCTGGGAAGTCTCAGAGTCCTAGGTCACCAGGTAGCTCTTGGTTACTTGCAGGCAGACATGCCCAGATTCGTTAGAATCTGATAAAGTCTGGAGTCCCTTAGAAATACCCAGTATCTCTGTAGCACTTGAGACAGACACACACACACACACACAAAAAAAAAATGGTTATTTGCCTAATGCTGGATTAGTTTGCTTTTATGGACATTTCTTCAACTTTAAAAGGTCTATTTTATTTTATTTTATTTTATTTTATTTATTCATGAGAGACACACAGAGAGAGGGAGAGAGGCAGAGACACAGGCAGAGGGAGAAGCAGGCTCCATCCAGGGAGCCTGGCATGGAACTCGATCCTGGGTCTCCGGGATCACGCCCTGGACTGAAGGTGGTGCTGAGCCACCTGGGCTGCCCTAAAAGGTCTATTTTAATTAAGTCCGATGAGTAGCAATGAATAAAAGTAGACCCTCGGGTGACACGAAGGGCAGATCTGTGTGCAGATCCCGGCTCTGCTCACAGGTGATGTGACCAGGGCTGAGTGAGTGAGTGAGTGAGTGAGTGAGTGAGTGAGTGAGTGAGTGAGGCCTCACTCCACAGCAGCTAAATGAGGATGAGAGCACCTGCCTCAGGAATCGTGCTGAAGTCCCCCCACAAACATACACACCAAGCGATGTTTGCCACCTTGCGTGTAGGTCTGCACTGCCACCCCCAACAGCCTCACCAACACCCGTGCCGTCCCGGCCCAACCATGTGCACACCCTCCTTTCTGCCTGATGGTGCAACATGACCCCGTCCTCCATCCTCAGAGCCTGACGTTCAGAAGGGTCATCCAAGACGACAGAGCATGCCCAGGGCCCGTGACAAAGCTGACCCAAAATGTACACTGGCTTCCCAACCCCTGTGGTTAAGCTTCACCATAGTGAGTGGAAGAGCGTCTCGTTACCTGGAATCCTCTTCCTTCTGGTCTCCCATCCATCCATCCACTTCCCAAACTCAGTGTATTCATGTTCTCTGAAGCTTGGGCTGTCACTCTAAAGCAAACATGCATAACAAGTCCATCGTTAACATCCATGCCCGGGCCTGGGCTCCCAGCACATGGACTCCTGCCCCAAAAGGATGGGTGGGCCGTGCCACCCAGGACTCTATGGGACTCCTCAGTAGGCATGGAGGGGGGTGGCCTTCACACACAGGGAACCCATTCCGGATCGAGGGACACCTCCTTATCTCTGCATCACCTCCAGAGAAGGCAATTCTGCTTGTCTGTGGGCCTCAGAACACAGAGTTAACTGCCGATGGTGATAGATAAAGGCCCCCCACGGTTCATTCTGCGGCCCCACAAAGGGTACAACCCCCCGTTGCCGCCTACTGTACCCTGAAAGGAGCAAAGTCAGAGAGGACCGGCTTCCCAAGCAACCCACCAAAGACTGCTTCACAAGGAATCCGGCCAAAGAGTCAGGGATAGGCTGGATGCTCGGGCCCAGCTGAACACTCAAACCCCAGCCCCTGGAGCTGCTCTGTGCCCAGCGAGGGGTCGGGGGTGGGAGTGGGACGGGGGGTGAGGCTCAGCTCAGCCCCTTAGCAGCCCCAAGACAAATAGCTGAGCCCCTACTGCTTCATCCCAAAGAACAGGGCTGGTGAGCACACCCCTTGCAGGGCTGGGATGAGGTTGAAATGACACCTGTGACAGCCCCAGGAGCAGCATAGACCCAGAAATCGCTCTGTGGGTAGTGGGTGACCAAGCTAGGGGACACGTCCCTTTCACAACAACTCAGGTTCAAGGAGGATCTTGCATCTCCCCAGCAGGTGCTGAAAAGGACGAAGTCACAGACACGCGGTGGTGGGGCCGGGCTGAGCCCCCGGGGAGCCGCTACGTGGGGCCCACGGCAGGTCCACACATGCTCGGGCTCATGCCTGACTTCTTGTGCCTCAGCATCCTTAGGTGTCAAAGGCCATGTTCCTTCCGAGGCCGCAGCACACATTAAAATGCTTGGAGCCGGGCCTGGCATGGTAAGTGCCTGATATCTGTTTGGCATCGTCATGTCAAAGTTGGTGCCATTCGAATCGTGTTACAATCCAAACACGTCTTTAAGATCAGTGAAGGATTTGGAAGCTGTGCCGTGAACCCAGTGAGAGAAGGGGGGCTGCACCCCCCCCCTTAAACCCCGCCGCTCGCTCTGCCCCAAGCTTCCTGGTGCTTAGTGTGGCTTCGGGGGCTTCAGGGGCCGTGGCAACTGGATGGACGTGGAAAGAAACACGCTACTGAACTGGAAACAGTGCTTCACAAGAACGGTGCTCGCCAAAGGACAGCAAATCAGTGGTCAGGAAAGGAACCCCAAAGCCCAAGCCCAGGGATAAGCCCACACGTGTGCCGAGCCCTGCACACTCGGATGTTCGTGGCGGGTAAAGTTTAACCGACCTACATGTGCATCAACACGGGAAAGGGACCCGGTGTAATGGGGGCCAGAGGTGGCGGGCAGTGGGGGGCCACCAGCCGTCCACCCCTCGGCACGGGCGGAGCACGCTCGGATCCAGGGGGACGTTCGCCGAGCGGGAAGTACTTGATGAGAACTCGTATGTAAATGACAAAACACCCAGCAGCACCACGTGCCACCTCTGGAGATGGACGTATTGATTTAACGGGATGAACCGTATTCGAAGAACAGGCCAACCTCACAGTGACGCTCATTCTGTAAAGGGAAGGAGTGGGTCGGCATTAAAGTTGGTGGTGACAGGGGCTTCAGCTTTATCCGAGATTTTCATTCAAAAAGGAGAATGTGGGATCCCTGGGTGGCGCAGCGGTTTGGCGCCTGCCTTTGGCCCAGGGCGCGATCCTGGAGACCCGGGATCGAATCCCACATCGGGCTCCCAGTGCATGGAGCCTGCTTCTCCCTCTGCCTGTGTCTCTGCTTCTCTCTCTCTCATTCTATGTGACTATCTTAAATAAATAAAAATTAAAAAAAAAAAAGATGAAAAAAAAAACAAAAAGGAGAATGTGCTTATACATAAAGACACAGCGTATCTGACGTGACTCGTAAGTGGGAATATACACACACGTGTGTGCGGATATGGATGGGGGCACAGAGAATAGATCTATATATAGTCAAGTGTAATATGGGGAACAAGGCCCCATTCTTCGTCCCATCCACTTCCCACGCCCGGACAACTCACAGCAACCACACTTCACGATTTAACGTGAATCTTTTTGAACGCTTTGTTACGTATACACAACCTGCCCGAACCTCTCGCCGCAGGTGCGTAGGGCGCTGGCTCGCTCTTTTTGCTAGCCACATAGGGTTCCCCATCTGGAAGCTCGTATCGTGGACTCTTTAACCAGTTCCCCTATCAATGGACATTTAGGCTGGGTTCTTCTCCCCCCTCTGGACAACACAGGAATGAATATTTTCTATATATCCTTGCCTGCGTGTGCAATTAATATAAATCTGCGGAACAGCTAGGTCAAGGTGTGCCTGCATTTAAATTTCCTTTAGGCAGACATATGGCAAAATGATAAGAGCTTTGACATCTATCGGCCGTGTGACCTGGAACAAGTAAATCAACATCTCTGTTCCTCATTTTATCGTCATTTTCTCCGGGGCGTAAGTTCATATATATGAGATGCCCTAACCATGCTTTAGAGTCTCCAGGCAGAGACCGACTGCAGTCACCCGCCGCCCCCACCCTGGGTATGGGGTGTGAGCTCTGGGTGCACCCGTGCTTACCCGCCCACTCACAAGAATCCACACCCCACAGCTGCTGTAACAAGGTCGCAGGATTCCAGCCCAGGCTCCACCTCCTCCCTCCGTTTGTCAGTATTTTCTGGGGAATTTTTGTTCATTTTTTTGGTAAGCGTGCCCTACACTTTTATGATTATATTTTATATATATATATATATATTATTTACACATTTTTTTTATGATTGTCCAAACTTCCAAGCTGCATGCCAGTGTCCCCCCAGCACGGATTACAGATTACGAACTCACATCGGACACAGGACAACGTATGAGGATCTCAGTCATTTCCCCATAAAGCAGTGCGTCCCCCTGCCCCTGCGTCAGGTGCCCGTCTCTCTCCGGGGCGTCTTAGCGTGAGCTGGAGCTGACCCCTACATGCTTCTGCCGTCCCACGTCCTAACTCGCTGGTACACGTTACAGGACTCCCGCCCCAGACACTCGGGGGGATTTAATTAACACGGAGGCACAGACCGCTCTACGCCTACAGCCCATGTTGCAGAGCGCCGATTTACCTTTATAAGGTTTTCCGCAGGAGCAAAAAAGTCATCTGTTGCAAATAAAACCTGGGGACATAAAGAAAGGTGAAGATGAAGTAACCGTGAACTAAAAACCATTTTGCTCCGTTCCCTCAGTGAACCAGTAGGAGACGCAGTGCAAAGAGACGCGACATGGCCGGGGGAGAGGAGCAGCAGGCAATGAGCCCAGGGCCCTCCTGACTGTCTGGACCTCACCGCCTGCCCCCTGCGTCCCTCCCCTCCCGCCCGTGCTCTTCACCCCCTGCCGTCCGGATGCGAGGGGCTAACTCCCTACACATAGCGAGAAAACACACCAACGTGCCCTTTCGAGAATGGAGAACACTGGGCTCTGCGATCGTCTCACGGTCTCACGTCTCACGCCGCCCCGCTGGGCCACCCCTGTGGTCTGGCCGACTCCCCGAAGCATGCCCCGCAGGAGGGCTGGCCGGTCATCTGTCAACCAGGGCCGCACATTCCCGAGAGTGAGGGGGTTGCCGCTGCTTCCACCAGGAAAACAGGCGTAAAATGCATTTTCGGTGCCAAACAGGCTGCTGTCACCCCTGCCTGACCCAGGACCCAGGGACGGCTCCAGGCGGGAGGGGAACCGCGCACCGGTGTTGGGTGTGGCTTGGTTACCATTCCACGTAAGCGAGGTTGTGTTGCTCTCGGGGGACCTTGGGCACATTGGGGAAGCTGCCCCAGGGCCTTGTCACGGACACCTGGTGTCAGTTAGCTCAGCAGCTTGACCCCTGACAGGTGCAGCGGCTTCACGGAGCCGACACCTAAACCTCGACTACGGATCTGTGAGGAGGCCTTACCCGGAGCGTTTGGCCAAGGCTAATGCTGACCTCGGGAGCTGTCCGAGATCTTGGGGCCCCTGTCCCTGCCGTGGCCAGCGACTCTCAGTGGCCAGAGGTCCAGCCGGACGGCAGCCTCGGGGGACGAGGCTCATCCACCCCTGCCTTGGCAAGGCTGCTCCTTGTGGGCGGGTTCGAGCCCCCCAGCGGCCCCTGGATGATGACCATGGGAGCAGCCACCTTGCCCGCCAATGCCAGTTCCATCGCCCACCAGGGACCCAAGCTGGCAGGGAGCACCTAGCTTGGGGCCGGAAGGATGACTCTACGGAAAACAGACTCCTAGAAAAGGACACCCCAGGGCGCCTGGGGGGCTCAGTCGGTGCAGCATCTGCCTTCGGCTCAGGTCACAATCCCGGGGTCCTGGGATCGAGCCCCCCGTCAGGCTCCCTGCACATCAGGGAGTCTGCCTCTCCCTCTCCCTCTGTTTCCCCCTGCTCCTGATCTCTCTCCCTCTCAAATCAATAAAATCATAAAGAAAAAGAAGAAAAGGAGAGGACACCTCACGTGGACCTGGACTTTCTTTCCTTCTTCTGCCCCTTGCCTGGAACAATAGTGTAATGAACCCATCACTGGTTTGGGGTATGTTGTGCAGGAGACATCATCCTGTGTGCTGTTGGCTTCTGAAATATTATTATTATTAGAAATTATAATTTCCACAGTGAAGCTGTGTTAAATAAATTACTGGCAAGGATGATCTCGGTCTCTGAGCATAACTTGCCTCCAGTGAGACCCCTGGTCTCTGACCCCAGCCCAGAACCTAAAAGGCCGCGAAGATCTTGCTGTGTTGAGCTGCTGGCTGTTTGAGAGGCAGAGGGTAGGGGAAATCCTGCTGCGTTGGGGTTGACCTGCCCCCTAAGCATGTGTCAGGGCAAGGCACGGGTGAGGGGACACCTAGGAGCCCCTCACCTGTCCAGGTCCTCATTGGCTCCCGGCAGAAACCCTCGCAGGGCGCACAGGGCCTCTCTGACCTCCCGAGGCTCAGGCTGCCCAACACCACCTGCCAACTTCCAGAAACACTAAACCAGGGCACATGTGACGCTCCCTCCGCCCGCATCCCACCTGAGACGCCCCTCGCCCCTCTGCCCTGGCGGCCGCCTCTCCCACCTGAGGACTCCTTTGAGCATCACTCACCTGGACGGCGTTTCCCAAGCCTGCCAGCCCCGTCCAACTGCCCGCAGCTGGGGGGATGCGCCCCGCCAGCACCAGCCCCCGCCATGAGGACAGCCCGGGCCTCGGCTTCCACACCTGTCTCCCCGGTGGAGCGCAAGCGTCTTGAGGGCACCCCAGACCCCCCCCCCCGTCTGCCCCGGACACGGCGCCTGCACGCTGCGGGCACTCGGGGCCCTCCCTTGGGGGCCAGCCCGCCCCTTGCACGGGGCCAACACGCCTTCCAGGTTATCCCCCCGCCGGCGTGCGAGGCCCAGCGGTCTACCCTGCGAGAGACACGCAGGATAGGGGACTCTGCCCGCGGGCGCCGAGCGTCAGTTCGGTCTAAGCCTGAGGCAGGGCTGTGCTTCCAGCGCCGTCCGGTTCTCACGGGTTCCCCGCAGGCCGTGTGCGGGGATGGGCTTCGTGGAGGAGGCCGCACCAGCCTGCCGTTCCAGCCGGGCTCTCGGCGGGCGAGTGGGCCCTCAGCGTGGGGACGCCCCACGCACTCACCTGTCCTCCTACAGACTCAGATGCCATGTCGACCAGCTGCGTGAAGTCCAGGGACCTGGCCAGTTTTCCCTCCCTGGGAGAGTCAGCCATGCTTCCTGGCAACGAGAAAGGCAGCTGGTGAGCCTCGCGTGGGGGCAGCGGAACCCGCGTGGGCTCCCAGCCCGGGGTCTGCGACACTCGGATGTGGCCGCCAGGGGTCCCTGCAGGTGACTTTGCACAAACACAGTGACCCAGGAGGGAATTCGGGCATGGTTCCCCTCCGAGGTGTGTAAGAACAAAATACCACTAAATACGCAAATCCTACTGCCTCAAATTGCCATTTTATTTTATTTTCTAAAGGGGGAAAAAAGGGACGCCTGGGTGGCTCAGCGGCTGAGCAACTGCCCTCAGCCCAGGGCGTGACCCTGGGTCCCGGGATCAAGTTCCCCATCGGGCTCCCTGCGTGCAGCCTGCTTCTCTCTCTGCCTGTGTCTCTGCCTCTCTCTGTGTCTCTCATGAATAAATAAATAATTTTTAAAAGGGGAAAAATATTTTCATTTCCAAAGGAATAATTTGCTTTCAATAGTGTTTGGATCCACTCAAAAACACTTGCTGAGCAACCAGGTGGCAGCCCCTGGGAGCACTGGGGTATGTAGAACACATGCCCTGCCTCCAGGGGCTCCCCGACGGGGGAAACAGAGCCCCCAGACGCCCACGTGGAGCGAGGTTCTGGAGCCATCGAGACGGAGGCACACAGGTCGCTCGATCCAAGAGGATGCAGGACCCTTTGTCGTATGACGAGTGGGGCTCACCTAACTTAATCCAACCCCGCGCCCCGCACCCTTATTCTGAAATTGGGAAAGCAGATTTGGAGCAGGGCAGAGGCGTGGGGGGTGAGTCAGGGCCGGCCTGGAGGTCATCTCACTCCTTAGCCAACAGAAGTCCCCTTGTTCCTACCTTACTTCCTATGTCTCACGGTGACAAGCGCAAACCACACAAAAACTAACATCACAAAAATAAATAAATAAATAGATAGATAAATAAATAAATAAATGAAGACTAAGATCTCACTAAGAATTATTCACAACGGAAGAAACACAACAGTCAATGGGCGTGAGAAGTCAACGCTCCCTTGAAAGGACGGGAATATAATTAATCACGAAATGACATTTTTCCTTATGACGCTTGTGTTACACGTTTTAGAACAAACACCACCCGCGACCTGCCCTGAGGAGCATGAGCTGGAACAGTTTCTGGGTGCTTAGGTATCGCTACGAAAAAGCAGGCGGCTCCTTACCTTTGTCATCTGCTTGTCCCTCCCTGAGCTCTTCACTCTGCGGGGTCCCCGTCTCTTCCACGTCCCCCTGTCTCCTCCGCACCTGCCCCCGCTGGCCTCACACCATCCCCCGGGCTCCTAACATCACCCACAAACACGTATCACCTTCCTGGATTTCCACCCACCACCTCAAATTGTCTCCCCGGGATGTGTGACCCATCCCCAGGTCACCGCGCCGCCCACTGGACTCCAGCCCCACCCAGGTCCCCCCACCTCCCCCTCCAGGGTGCAGTCTTGGGGTCACGTCGCCCACGTGTCCTCGAATCCGATCTCTCAGAACATTACATCCACCCTGCAGCCAGACCCAGGACCCCGAAACGACATCACAGGTGGAACCGGCTTCAGAAGTGTCCGAGGAGCAGGGAAAGTGTGTAACTAGGCGGGCCGTGGCTCGATGGCTCCATCCCTGGGGAAGGGCACGTCATGGAGGCCCCGATAGCTTCGTCTGCTTTTGAGCACGTTGAAATCCATCACGTATTACACACGAGTAATGGGTGCCAGGGGCAGTGGGGCGGGCGGGAACCCCCATCTGTCCCTGGGCCTCCACACCCCCCCGTTGGTCTTGCTGCCACCGGCCGCCCTCGGCAACACACCAGCGCAGCCTCCTGCAAGCTGGTCAGTCTGTTAAAACCCTGGTGCGTATGCTTCCCTTTCCACGGAGTAAGAGCTCGTGTCCTTCCTAGGTCCACCGGGCCCCGCCACACGACGGCTCCCGCCCCCGCTTTGTCCTGCCCTCATCGCTGGCACCTGCTGCTCCCTCTGCTGGGAGGCTCCTCCCCGGGCTTCTGTGGGGCGGCCCCACGGCTCCGTGCAAGCCCGTGTGCTCCGCGATCACCTTCTCAGTAAAACCCACCCTGACACCCCCCCCACCTACAGCGACATTTCCACTCCCCCCAGCACCTCCCACACCCCGAGCCCGTAGCCAGAAGACATGCTGTGTAATTTGCTTCTTTATCATCTCAGCACCCGTCTTTCCCAGTTAGGTGTGTGCTCCGTGAGGACCGTAATCTCCGTTTGGGCCTCTGGTGTCTTCCTAGGACGTGGAACCTGGCTCGGCCCACACCAGAGGCTTAATAAATATTTATTAAACAAATAAGTGAGCAGGGGTCCCTGGGTGGCTCAGTGGTTTAGCGCCTGCCTTCGGCTCAGGGACTGATCCTGGGGTCCCAGGATCGAGTCCCACGTCGGGCTCCCTGCAGGGAGCCTGCTTCTCCCTCTGCCTGTGTCTCTGCCTCTCTCTGTGTCTCTCATGAATAAATAAATAAATCTTTAAAAATAAATGAGTGAGCTAACAATGTTTTCTAACCCATTTTATGTTTTAAAATACTGGTTCCCTAACTGGACTAAAATCTTCCTGAGGCTGAAAAGGTGCAGAAGAAATCCTCTAACATTGCATGAGTCTGCAGTAACGTCGTGCACGGCTCACATATGCTCTCTCTCCTCATCCTAGAACAACGCTGAGATTCTGGTTTCGTTGACATCTTACGCATGAAGAAACGCGCCTTTGAGGGGTCACGTAAACTGTGCAAACCTCACAGCTGGAGAGTGAGCCACCTTCCCAACACAGCTACGCCCCGATGTGATTGCTATTTGAAAGCCCCCAGCACAGTGCCAGCACAGGTGGCCGTGGCAGGCTGCAGCATAGGTCACTGGGGACCCGTGTGCCAGCCCGCAACGCTCGGGCACTGAGCCAGGCTCTGGCCTTACACCTGCTCCTCGGAGCTGACGGTGGGGGGCAGGACGCAGACGCGACCACCGCAGTGCTGCTGATGGAGGCGGCAATGACGTCCTCGCAGCACGACAGGACCTCAGGGGGCTCAGGGGCTCCGCTAGGACCTGGACACTGAGCCGGGACTTGATGGGGGTGGATGGGGAGACAGGGCAGGGGACGGGGGGGGGCAGGCCGGCAGCCGCAGGAGCCGCGGAGCTGGAAGACGGCACCGGCCACCCGGGAAGCTGCTGGCCAGGCGTGGCTGGCTAATGCACGTAGTCACCTAACTGTGGGATGTAGTTAGAATTACATAAATCTAATGAAGCTAAGAATGCCGTTTTCCCTTGTCCTAGCCACATTTCGCGTGCTCAGTAGCCACGTGGCTTCCGTGGAGGGTAGCAGGCGTGCACGCGGAAGCTTCCATCACAGAAAGCCTTGCTGGCCCGGCCAGAGAGGCGCAGGGCTCACACCTTGGGCACCTCGCGGGGCACCAGCGCCACTCGCACGCGGCACCAGCCGGGCCACGAGGCCGATGCACGCCAGGCCCGGGCCAGCGTGGCGAGGCTGAGACGAGGCTGAGACGAGGCGAGGTGGCCGTGCTCCCAGCTCGGGCTCGGGGGCCCTCCAGGGGCCAGCACCCCAGGCTGAGCCCGCAGAGCTCGGGGCCAGCCCGGCAGGGACAGGGCCGTCGCCGATGGGGGTCACTCCCCGCGACAGCAATGGCTTCACGTCTGTCCCGTGTCCCGGACAAAACTGCACAGCGCCGGGCCGGTCGTAGGCGCTCGACAAAGGCTCGTCGTGTTATTTAATTTTCTTAAATGATCACAAAGCGTTGGATGTACCCGGTCATCCATCGGAAAAGGCTCGGTTTTCGGGTTTCCAGGCAGTGGCAGCAAGCCCGGCAGGCACCGGGTCAGAGCGTCCCAACATCCTGCCCAAGTGCACAGTCCAGCGCCCCTGGGAAAGGCCAGGTGTCATGGCAACGCGGGGGGCTGCTCACGGGGTCGTGTCACCCTGCCCCCCGGCCGCCCGGAGCCGGGGTAGGGGTGCTCTTTTCATCCTCGCTGCGTCTCCTCTTTTCCTTCCATGTGCCTCAGAGGACGTGCAGGGAGCAGCGCGTGGACCGCAGGCTGCAGGGCACCGGCGAGGGAGCCGCACTTTTACTCGTGTTTCCAAGGGCTCCGTCTCAACGCGCCGGGGTCCGAGCTCCCACCCTCTGAATCCCGACGCTCGATTTACACACTCACTCACTTCAGCGCTTCTTAAAAAGAACGATCTCGGGCAGCCCGGGTGGCTCAGCGGTTTAGCGCCGCCTTCGGCCCAAGGCGTGATCCTGGGGTCCTGGGATCGAGTCCCACGTCGGGCTCCCTTTGTGGAGCCTGCTTCTCCCTCTGCCTGTGTCTCTCTCTCATAAATAAATAAATAAAATCTTAAAAAGAAGAACGCTCCCTTCTGGGAATGACTGCTTCCATTTGGCAAATAAATAAATGAGCAGCGCCTCCTCTGAAAAACATCCGTCGGGGCAGCAGAGCGCTGTGTGGCCGAGGACCTGGCCTCCCCACTCCTGCTGCGGCAGCACCGGGGCCAGTACGCAGGGTGATGCCACTCAGCCTGCCCCTCAGGCAGGAGGGACAGGCTTTCCCCACACCCTTAACATGCCTGTGTGCTCACAGAAGAGCTCCTGGGACCCAGGTGGAGGTGCTCGAGGCCCGTGTCCCTTTCTCCAAAGGAAACCTAGCCTCCAGATACTTCTGTTCTACTTAGCAGAAATGAATTCGGTGTGGGGCACAGATGTCTCCGTGGGCTCCTTCCTCAGCCTCGCCACGGCGCCTGTGCCCTGGCGTGTCCCCCCACCCCCAGCCTGCGAGCTCCCCCAGAGACGGGGCCCTGCACAGCTGCCCCCGAGTCGCAGTTACTTCGACCCTTCATCATTCCTGTTGCTAGAGCTCCATTAGTAGCTGTGCTCAAAATGTGTTTCACTGAAATAAAAGAAAAACAAACAGACCTTTGTAAAATATGTCAGAGGCCCCACAAGAGATAAACCTGCAAGGAGAGCAGCCCGGGTGGCTCAGCGGTTTAGCGCCGCTTTCAGCCCAGGGCGTGACCCTGGAGACCCAGGATCGAGTCCCACGTTGGGCTCCCTGCATGATGGAGCCTGCTTCTCCCTCTGCCTGTGTGTATCTCATGAATAAATAAATAAAATGTTAAAAATAAAAAACCTGCAAGGAGCATGAGGCCCCATCTACAGTGTCCCAGGAGTAGCAGAGCAGGGGGTGGGTGCAGGTAACGTTCAGCAACAATATTCCCCACTGCCGCACACAGGGGTCAGTGCTGTGAGTAGCACAGGGCATCAGTACTGGGCACCGGGCGTGCAAAAGGCGGAACGCTGGCAGGGTGTGTTATGGTTGAGCTAAGATGGGAACCGCTTGCCACACGTGTACACAAGGTTAAATCCGATGACATATGAACCTCAGTATCTTGGTCACACCAGCCACATTTTATGTGCTCAGAAGCCAGGTGCGGCTGGTAGCTACTGCACCAAACGGCACAGAAGGGAGATTTCCATTGCCGGAGAAGGTTCTAGCCAACGGTGCACATTGTAGAACACCATTGTTTTAAAATCCCTTTTTATTAATTTAGACACAATGTTCAATGTTCAGGAATGGTCTCAGAACTCTTTAGCAACCGCTCACCAATGCAGGAAAGTTCCAACAACAGGACAAAACCGTCTCTTTGGCTTCCTAAGGCCTGACCCTGTAACCACGTGACATCACACCGCACCAGGCGGGGGTGCGGGGGATTTGCGGATGTGATCCTAAGACAGGGAGGTAATCCTGGCTAATCCAGGTGGGTCCGATCTACGTGCATGACACGGTAAGAGCAGAGACCTTTCTCTGCTGGAAGCAAAAGGACCACCAGCAGAAGGGAAGTCAGAAAGAATCAAAGGTTTGAGTCATGCTTCCAAAAGAGAAAAAGCCCCTACACACCGTCAAGAAGGCCCAAGAGCAAGGACCACAGTGAAGAATGGCCCCCGCTGACACCAGCAGGGACCCGGGAACCACAGTCCTACAACCACGGAAGCAGATTCTCCTACCCCGTCCCCCGAGCCTCCTGATAATCAGGCCCAGCTGGTGGATATTTTGACCACAGCCTGGTGAAGCCCAGAGCAGAGAAATCAGCTGAGCCCAGCTGGACTTCAGACCTGCAGACCCAAAAATCACAAATTTGTTCTAAGATACTGAGAAGGATGGTAAGAGAAGAGGGAGGGGGTAACTGGGAGGAGGGCATGTGATGGGATGAGCACTGGGGTTTTTTTTAAGATTTTATTTATTTATTCATGAGAGACACAGAGAGAGAGAGAGGCAGAGGGAGAAGCAGGCTCCACGCAGGAAGCCCGATGCGGGACTTGATCCCGGGACTCCAGGATCATGCCCTGAGCTGAAGGCAGGCACTAAATCACTGAGCCACCCAGGCATCCTGAGCACTGGGTGTTCTCTAATGCGGATGAATCAGTGAACTCTACCTCTGAAACTAATGATACACCATATGATCATTAATTGAATTTAAACTTTAAAAATTTTAAATTAAAAACATTTTTTAAAAAGATGCTGAGAATGTGTGACAACAGCACTAACACGAGCCCATATTTGCTTATTCAGACTTAACTACTGGGACAAGCTACCATCACCGCAGGGGCAAGAGAGATACGCAGAGAGTTTTCAGCTTCTGGGAGAGACCACGAAGCCCATCAGACCGCTGAGGCCAGAGGCTGTGGCCACATCACCTGTGTCCATTTTAAGGGACACACAGAGGTGCACCCAGGACGCCAGCTGGAGCCCCTGGGGACCCAGGCTGATCTGTCTGTCTGGGAGCCCCCAGCCCCTAATCCTGCAAATGCCCAGCTGACGGCTTGCAGGCCGCCCTGGGCTCCCAGTGAGTCGAGCCCAGGCAGCAGCCCCACCGGTCGGCTTTAATTCGAGGACCCCAGCTTGCAGCTCATCTGCCACGCTGGCGCCTCCACCAAAGCTCTGGGTCTGGCTACAGTTGGGTTCCTGCCACACGTTCCATAAAATAAGTGTAACCATGTGAGACGGGCATGCAGAAGACAAGGGATGTCTTTAAGCCCCAACCCCGCATCTTCACACCTGTTCTCATGCCTTCCTCACGCCAGCCGGAGAGTCATCTGTGATCATACCTGTCGCAGAGAAGCCCAGAGAGGTGGGGAGCTTGCCCAGCGTCATGCAGTAATGAAAGGGGAAGGGATGCATTTCCAACGAGCCTTGGGGTAGAGCCACAGCCCCACCTCTATATGGACTATGAGGAAGACAGCAGAGTCTTCACTGATCCCTAGGAGCTGCAAAACTTATTATGTGTGTTCTCCAAATAGTCTCAAAGACCATTATATGAACAGTCCCTCTGCCCCGGGATAAAAATACGAGACAGAAAATCGAGCTACTGTACGATCCAGCTCTCACACTACCGGGCATCACCCACACAATAGAGAAACACTCACCCAAAGGGACACCGCACCAGGGTGCTTCCAGCGGCCTTGTCCACGACAGCCACGACAGGGAAGCAGCCCACGCGTCCATCGATCGAAGAAGGGATAAAGAAGATGTGGTGTGTGTACACAGTGGAGTATTACTCAGCCGTAAAGAAGGATGAAGTCTTGCCGTGTCCAACAACATGGATAAACCTAAAGATCATGATGGTGAGTGAAACAAGTCGGTCGGAGAACGACAAACACCATCTGATCTCACTCATATGCAGAATTAAGAAGCAAAGCAAACGAGCAAAGGGAAAAAAAGAGAGAGGAGAGACAAAATGAGAGACTGTTACCTACAGAGAACACACGGACGTCACCAGAGGGGAGGGGGCTGGGAGGGGAGGAGGAAACAGGTGATGGGGATGCAGGAGGCTCCTCTTGTGAGGAGCAGCAGGTGACGTACAGAACCATGATACTCTACACCTGAAACTAATAACAACACCGTATGTTAACTTTACTAGAATAAAAATTTTAAAATAAACAATTTCATTAAATGTGCCAAAGAAAAGAGGGGACCCGTCACATGCGGGTTCCAGAACGCAGCGCAGGCCTGACCACACACCCGCCCCAGCCGCTGCGGAAGGGACCGGGTGGTCTGCGTCGGGGAAGTTTCTCTCCTGAGCCACGAACCCCGAGAGTGTCCCCGACGGCCGGGGCTGCACGGCGCCCTCGGGGGCTCCGGGGAAGTTCATCTCCCCTGCAGTCTAATGTGTTGCGCTGTTTCCAACCGCGGGAGGGAAAGCCGAGGTCTCTGCGGAAGGAGGGGTTACCCCCCAGCCCCGACCTCCCCTGCCCCAAAGGCCACCTCTGCGCCCACACCGCCCGAGGTGACTGCTTCCAAGTCTGTGTGTTTCAATGAGTTCTTAAATAATCCCTCGCAGAGGAGCAAGATCCCCTCTGAAAGGGGCAGGCCGTGAATGCACCCCAGCTTTTATTTAATTTTTTTTTATTTTTTAATTGGAGTTCAATTTGCCAACATATAGAATAACACCCCGTGCTCATCCCACCAAGTGCCCCCCTCAGTGCCGGTCACCCAGTCACCCCCATCCCCCACCCACCTCCCCTTCCACCACCCCTAGGTCGTTTCCCAGAGTTAGGAGTCTCTCATGGTCTGTCTGCCTCTCTGATACTTTCACTAATTTTCTCTCCTTTCCCTTTCACTATTATTTATATTCCCCAAATGAATGAGACCATATAATGTTTGTCCTTCTCCGATTGACTTACATCACTCAGCATCGTACCCTCCAGGTCCATCCACGTCGAAGCACATGGTGGGTATTTGTCGTTTCTAATGGCTGAGGAATACCCCACTGTATACATAGACCACAGCTTCTTTATCCATCATTTTTCGATGGACACCGAGGCTCCTTCCACAGTGTGGCTATTGTGGACATGGCTGCTAGAAACATCGGGGTGCAGGTGTCCCGGCGTTTCACTGCATCTGAATCTTTGGGGTAAATCCCCAGCAGGGCAATTGCTGGGTCGTAGGGCAGCTCTATTTTTAACTCTCTGAGGAACCTCCACACAGTTTTCCAGAGTGGCTGCACCAGTTCACATTCCCACCAACAGTGCAAGAGGGCTCCCCTTTATCCACATCCTCTCCAACATTTGTCATTTCCTGTCTTGTTAATTTTCCCCATTCTCACTGGGGTGAGGTCGTATCTCATTGTGGTTTTGATTTGTATTTCCCTGATGGCAAGTGATGCGGAGCATTTTCTCACGTGCTTGTTGGCCATGTCTATGTCTTCCTCTGTGAGATTTCTGTGCATGTCTTTTGCCCATTTCATGATGGGATTGTTTGTTTCTTTGGTGTTGAGTTTAATAAGTTCTTTTTTTTTTATAAAATCTTTTTGTTGTTGTTGTTGTTTTATTTATTTTTTTATTTATGATAGGCACACAGTGAGAGAGAGAGAGGCAGAGACACAGGCAGAGGGAGAAGCAGGCTCCATACACCGGGAGCCCGACGTGGGATTCGATCCCGGGTCTCCAGGATCGCGCCCTGGGCCAAAGGCAGGCGCCAAACCGCTGCGCCACCCAGGGATCCCCTAATAAGTTCTTTATAGATCTTAGATACTGGCCCTTTATCTGATAGGCCATTTGCAAATACCTTCTCCCCTTCTGTAGGTTGTCTTTTAGTTTTGTTGTCTGTTTCCTTTGCTGTGCAAAAGCTTCTTATCTTGAGGAAGTCCCAATAGTTCATTTTTGCTTTTGTTTCTTTTGCCTTCGTGGATGTATCTTGCAAGAAGTTGCTGTGGCCGAGTTCAGAAAGTGTGTTCTCCTCTAGGATTTTGATGGAAACTTGTCTCCCATTTAGATCTTTCATCCATTTTGACTTTATCTTTGTGTCTGGTGCAAGAGAGTGGTCTAGTTTCATTCTTCTGCATGTGGATGTCCAGTTTTCCCAGCACCATTTATTGAAGAGACTGTCTTTCTTCCAGTGGATCGTCTTTCCTGCTTTGTCGAATATTAGTTGACCATAATGTTGAGGGTCCACTTCTGAATAGAAAACCTGAACAGGCCGATAACCAGGGAGGAAATTGAAGCAGTCATCAATAACCTCCCAAGACACAGGAGTCCAGGGCCAGATGGCTTCCCTGGGGAATTCTATCAAACGTTTAAAGAAGAAACCATACCTATTCTACTAAAGCTGTTCGGAAATATACAAAGAGATGGAGTACTTCCAAACTCGTTCTATGAGGCCAGCATCACCTTAATTCCAAAACCAGACAAAGACCCCACCAAAAAGGAGAATTACAGACCAATATCCCTGATGAACACAGATGCAAAAATTCTCAACAAGATACTAGCCAATAGGATCCAACAACACATTAAGAAAATTATTCACCATGACCAAGTGGGATTTATCCCTGGGACACAAGGCTGGTTCAACACTCGTAAAACAATCAATGTGATTCATCATATCAGCAAGAGAAAAACCAAGAACCATATGATCCTCTCCATAGATCCAGAGAAAGCATTTGACAAAATACAGCATCCATTCCTGATCAAAACTCTTCAGAGTGTAGGGATAGAGGGAACTTTCCTCAACATCTTAAAAGCCATCTACGAAAGCCCACAGCAAATATCATTCTCAATGGGGAAGCACTGGGAGGCTTTCCCCTAAGATCAGGAACCAGACAGGGATGTCCACTCTCACCACTGCCATTCAACATAGTACTGGAAGTCCTGGCCTCAACAGTCAGGCGACAAAAAGACATTAAAGGCATTCAAATGGGCAAAGAAGAAGTCAAACTCTCCCTCTTCGCTGATGACATGATACTTTACATTGAAAACCCAAAAGCCTCCACCCCAAGATTGCTAGAACTCATCCAGCAATTTGGTAGCGTGGCAGGATACAAAATCAATGCCCAGAAGTCAGTGGCATTTCTATACACTAACAATGAGACTGAAGAAAGAGAAATTAAGGAGTCAATCCCATTTCCAATTGCACCCAAAAGCATGCACTACCTAGGAATACACCTAATCAAAGAGGTAAAGGATCTATACCCTAAAAACTACAGAACACTTCTGAAAGAAATTGAGGAAGACACAAAGAGATGGAAAAATATTCCATGCTCATGGATTGGCAGAATTAATATTGTGAAAATGTCAATGTTACCCAGGGCAATTTACACGTTCAATGCAATCCCTATCAAAATACCATGGACTTTCTTCAGAGACTTAGAACAAATTATTTTAAGATTTGTGTGGAATCAGAAAAGACCCCGAACAGCCAGGGGAATTTTAAAAAAAGAAAACCATAGCTGGGGGCATCACAATGCCAGATTTCAGGTTGTGCTACAAAGCTGTGGTCATCAAGACAGTGTGGTCCTGGCACAAAAACAGGCGCCCGGGCTTTTAATGCAAATCACAGCAAGTCATCAGCAGCGAGGAGGATGGTTACCCCTGTGAGAAGAGCCATTCTCTTTCTGATGGAAAAAAAACGATAATCTGGGGATTTTATACACTCGAGTGCTCTTGCTCTTTATTTTCCCCTTTGGGATTTGCCTTAAAATGAGAAAAGAGATGAGGCGAGCACGGAGCTACAGGAGGGTCTTCTCGGACCAGTGGGCCGGGCTCTGCCCACAGGAGTCACCGCGGGGGGAGCACACCCTCGGTGACCCTCGGTGCCCCGCCGTCACCGTCGGTGACTCCTGGTGAAGCCTTGGGCCAGAAGTCTGAGGTTTCCGTGAGACAAGAGAAATCTATCCACGTTCGAACAGATCCAGAGGGAGCGTAAGCAGCGATGGGTGAAGGCCCGGCTGGCTCTGCTTTCAGACACAAGGGACGTCCCCTCCAGGCCTCACTCACTGGCATCTTGGTAAAGACCAAAGTCACAGGACTTACAGAGTGGCCGGACGGGGAGCGGAGTGGGGAGGGCAGGAACCCAGCCCTTACCTCTCAACGCTGTCAGAAGCTCATTGCGTCCTGTTCCTTTGGCCAGGACAGCGTTAAAACAGGGAGTTAAGTATAAACAGCACCCCAACCTCGCCCAGGAAGCCGAAGTTCAGTGTTTAGGACTGGATTTCCTGCTCCCCACAAGCCAGCCAAGGTGCCATGGTGCTCGCGTGCCAGCCAGGAGAGAATTTATAGGAGCCTCACCTAGCAAGACAGAACTTTCCGGGGACTGGCCACACCTCTGTGATGTCACAAGGCTGCAGGGAGAGGCGGCTCCAAGGTGGAGCAGAGAAGCCGGGAGTCTCCGCGAGAGCCTTGTCGGAGGCCCACGGCTGGTCCCTCCCGGGATGGCCCGCCACCACCACCCGTACCTGCCCGCCTGGCCCTGAAACGCCCACCTCACCTCCAGCCTTCACGCCCACTCTTGCGTCTAGGAGCCTTCAGCAAACGCGTTTATTCTGCTCGCCCAGCAACGGTTCTGGAGAAGACAGCCTTCGGGGGGCTCGATAAAGGGGAGGGACCCTCAGCCCCAGGAAGACACAGATGCACCTGGAGTTTTCACGGGATTTAAAGGACTCCGCAGACCCTGAGGAAGCCCATGATGAGAGGTGCCGCTCCTCGTGGCATGCAGCAGCGCAGGTCGCTGCCCTCGGAGCCTGTGGTCTAGACGATGAGGCGGGAACAGCGCGTGGCCCCGACGTGCATGGTGCATAGCTGACTGCGTGGTCACACCACCCTGCAGAGCGGTCGTGTCCTGGTCCACAGATGGACAAACACAGGCTCAGGAGGGAGGGGATTTATCCAAGGCCACCTGAGTCCTGAGCGGCTGACCGGGAGCAGGAGCTCCGAGCAGCCAGGCGGCCCCTGGCTCGTGGCCTCGGAGGCGTGGGGCCGGGAGTGCGTCACCGTCCTTGGTGTCTTCACCAGGCTTGGCCCGCCCTCCTCCCCGCCTGCCCCCAGCTCTCTCCCCGATGAAGCCAAACCAGTTGGGAAAGCACGCCACCTCCAGGAACCTCCCTCTGGCCGGTCCCCACACCCTCAGGTCGTGCTGGCACGTCTGTCCACCCTTCCAGAGGGAGATCTTACGGACACAAGCCATAGCCTGTGCCTCTGCACGAAGCAGGTGGTGTTTTATTACATTAACAGAGGTGACCCTGTGACCCCTTCCTGCTGTCCCCTTCGCCCACGACCCCAGTCTAGGCCCCCTGCACAGAGAACAGCCAAGAGGGATGCCGGGGGCTGGCATGGCATGGCAAGGCTGCCCGGCCTGCTGTCCGCGCCCGGAGCCCCGCTCCCCGCGTCTGATGAGCCTCCGAGCCACCGCAGAGCCTGCTGAGGTGCGGGTGCCCGCTGCGGCTCTGAGAGGCGCCGGGAGTCTGGACCCCCACGCGCGGCAAGGCGGTGCTGGGAGGGGGTCCGGGACCACATCTGGAGAGCAAGCTTCCGCGAGCCGCACTGTCCAGCCGCTCGCTACTTAATATCACATCTAAAATGTAAGTTCATGTAAGAAAAGTAAACGAAATTTAAAATCAACGTCCTCGGTCTTTCCAAATGTCACGCGCTCGAGGGCCACGTGCGGCAGCCCCGCGCACAGCTCCTGGGCGGCTCCGGTGAGGGATGAGGGCCTCAGGCAGCAGCCGGGGCCGGAGGTGAGCCCGTCGGGGCCACGGGAGGGCCGACAGCAGGTGCTTTACCCGGAGCCTGGGGTCGAGAGCCGCCCGCTGGCACCTTGACTGCGGCCCCAGGGGGCGCGGGGCCAGAAGCGCGCAGCCGGCTCAGCTGCTCCCACGTTCCTGGGCCCGGAAACCGTGCAAGATGAGGCACAAGAGCTGCTGAACCGTCACAGAGCGATGGATGGCCGAGCCCGCCCCGGGAGCCCGCGCAGTGGCGTGTGAGGAAGGCTTAGGATTCGGGTGACTGGCGCGGAGGCAGTGGGGACCGGAGACGCGGCGTCCTGCAGCCACGCTTGCCCCGCCTCGGGGGCTGCCTCCGCGCCGTCTGTGCCAGGGGGTGAGAGGGGGTGCGTGAGGAGCCCCTCGGGGCCGCTGGGACTGGGCACAGCACCCCAGCCTGTGACCCACCCCCTTGTGCCTCAAGCTGCCCCAGGCCCTGATGAGACTCGTGAGCAGCAGGACCTACCCCATGGCCCACGGCGCCTGCCGAGCCGTCAGGGCAAGTGACAAAGGAACAGATGGGCCTGCAGCTTGCTGGTCCCCTCGTGGGGTTTCCCTTCCATTTAACACGTGCCAAACCCCACGCAGACCACCCTCTCGCACCGTCCTCTCAGGAGGGACCTCTGCACTCATGTTTGGCCTCATGGGGCCTTTTCGTGTAGGTGGCACATTGCAAATGTGCCACAGTCCTCCGCACCCCTTTGCAGCCTCTCCCATCACGCGCTGGCCTCATTCCCGGGCCCCTTGACCCTGGGTTCACCTTTCCGCAAGGCCCCAGGGGGGCTCTCCAGTCTTCCCAAAATTCCCGTGACCTCCCAAAAACCTTTCAACGAATCCCCTTTCTGCTTAAATTAGGCAGACTCGGATTTCCCGCCTACAGCTAAGAAACACCTCCCACCCTGGGTTCGGATCCGCTGGATCACAGTGGGTTGTGCCCGGTGACCGCCCCTCGGTCCTCACCTGCCACCCACTCCCCCACGGAAGCGAGGTGGGCGCGCGGTCCAAACGGTCCCCGGAGGGAGCCGGCCAGCGTGGGCCGACAGCGAGGGCCTTCGTGCGAGTCGGAGTGAGGCAGGAACACGAGACGGTGCTGCCCCGGGGAGAAGACCCCTGCCGGGGACCCGAGCCTGCACCGCGGGAACACCCCGTGTCATCCTCCCTGCGGCCTGGACCAAGCTTTGTGCTCACGCTGGGGGGACGCTGAGACCAGAGATCCATCGCTTCCCCTTCCCAGAGCTTATCGTCCTCCCACGCTCCGAACCCCGATTCTTCTCCTGACTCGGTGGCTGGAGGTGGCCGCCACCGCGCTGGGGACACTCGCGCCGGGGAGGCGGGACCACACGGCTGAGGGTTTTCTGAAGGGCACAGCGCCCGGGGTGTGGGGGCCACAGCCTGTCCCTTCCCTCCCCGCCTGCCTGCTGTCCCTGTTCTGCAGAATCTACCCCCCCGCCTCTAGCTGTGCCCCCTTCCCTGCCCCCACGCACACGCATGCACATGCATGAGCACACACTCACATATGCACACACACTCACACGTGCACACATGCACTCATGCATCCACACACGCAGTCATACATCCACATGCACTTGCATATGCACACACACATGCACTCATGCATGCACACACACACTCATAAATACACTCACACATGCACACACACACGTGCATGTGCATTCATACATATGCGCAGACGCACCCCCACATGCACTCATACATCCACACACTCACTTGCATATGCACACGCACTCACGCGCACTCACATACGCACACAAGCACTCACACACACACACATGCACTCACGCATGCACACGGACGCACACACACACACCATCCAAAACAGTTCCCCGGAGCATCTGTGCCGCCCCACTCCCTGCAGGTCTGGCTGCGGACACGTCCTCCTGCCGCCGCTGGATGGCAGTGTAGACCCGCGGATCCGAGGTCCGGCCCGCAGCGCCGGGCTGAGCTCCTCCGCCTCGGCCAGCGCTTCCTGGAGAGCTCGGAACAAAACAAGTGCACCCGCTCTTTGGCCACGGGGCAGTGCGGCACCTCCCGACCCCTGGCTCCGGCCTCAACCAGGCCGTCCCCCCTCCTCTGCGGATCAGACGCTGCAAGCTGCAATCAGGCTCCTTCTGAGAAGTCGGGGAATAAATTCGGGACCGTGGTCTGACCTCACGCCCGGTTGTTGGCATCCTATCAGGTTCTCTCTGACAGGGTCCTCGTCCTGGGGGGGGCAAGGGGCGCCAAGGGGGCAGCCACAAGGCCGTGTGTCCCCTCGGAGGTCAGCCGAGTGCAGGACGCGGCAGGAGGGGCTGGACCTGCTGAGCCACTTCCAACTTCTCCAGAGTCGGAGGTGACACGAGGGCACAGACGTGTCGCCCTCCATCCCCCTCGCCTCCAAGTGAGAGAGGGGAAGCCTGGAGGGGTGGCCGGGGCTCCCCCAGGACGGCGCACAAGCCAGGAGAGGAGCCCCCCGGGGGAGGCGGGTGCACGCCTCCGACCCGCCCTCTGACGGAGAGCAGGGCCTCCGTGCAGGGTGCAGGAAAGGCACCGCGGGGCAGAGGCTTCGGGCCCCCCCGGCCGTGCCCTGCCCCAGCACAGCCGCGGGCCCCCACCCACTGGATGGGCCCCAGGGAGGCGTCCCTGTGGAGAGAGGCGGGCACTGGGTGGTGGGTGGGGAACGCCAGGCCGGGGGCATGCTTGACGGTGACTGGTCCCCGGTGCCCTGGAGGCTAAGCGGACCTGCCCTTGCCTCCAGCGGGAGACACACCACTGTCGTCCGCGGCGGTCGGCCACACTTTGAAGTCGGACGTCCTCAAAGACGTGGTCCAGACCGTCAGGCAGCTGGGGCCTCACTCGTAGGACAAGGAGCATGAGCGGCCCCTGGGGAGCTGCCCCCACGACCCCAGCTGGGCTGCCTCTGCGTGTGCCTGCGTGTGGTGGTGTCTGGAACCTGAAGAAGCGTGTTTTTCACTAGGGAATGTGATGCACGAAAAGGTTCTGGACGGGCCTCCCGGTGTCCGCATCCTGTGGCGTCCCCGCCCTAAGCTCCCAGGACCTGGTGGCTCCGCCCTGGTGCACACAACACCCCTGCGATGGGATGGGGCGTCAGGAGCTGCCCCGGGGACAGGCCCCCGTGACCCCGAGCCCAACCCTGCCCACGACCACCACGGCTCGCCACGTGCAGAAGGGAGTCCGGCTGAGCCCCGGGAAAGTCCTGGCCCCCGGGGACCCCGACCCCCTGAATGAGGTCGTCACAAGGCAGCAGGGATGGGGTTGCCGTCACGGGGACGGACAGCGCCTCCGGGGACACCCACGCCCGCGTGTCCCGTGGGGAACTCAGGCTTCCCTCCCCCGAGCCGCGCTTGCTGCCAGCAGAACTGTCCCTACGTAGCCAACGGCGAAGGGGACATACGCGTGAAGGTGATTCACAGAGACGTCGGCCAGGGTGACGCGGGTCCCTGGGCACGCAGAAATCTAAAGGGAGACCGTCCCGTAAACCCCACCGCCATTGTCTGGATGAACTCCTGTCGTCTTTCGAGCTTTTATTTTATAGTTTGGACAAAGGCGAGAGCGATGCTGAGTAATAATTCCATAGTGAGCGTGTGGCTACCATACGGGTGACAGACCTCACGTCTGCAGCAATAACGCCCGGCAATGTCGCCTGTCCTGCCGACGGCGGGCCGCGGGCACCAGGGGCCCCGTGCAGGAGGCAGGGGGCCGGGGGCGGGGGGACAGGGCCAGGGGGCGGCCACCCGGGAGGCGGCCCGCTACACGTGCTCCTTGTCGAACTCGCACAGGAAGTGCATGGTGACATGGCAGGCCACGTCGTTCCAGCCGCCCGAGGCCACCATCTCCACGCAGTCCTCCTCGTCGTAGGCGTTGTTGGGCTCGCCGCTGCGCCACTTGTTGAAGGTCTGCATGGGGGAGCGGTCCGAGTACACGAACGTGCCCTCCCTGTCCAGGTCGTTGATGCCGATGAAGACGCGGGCCAGGCCGGCCTGCGCGATGTAGGCGGCCATCAGGCCGTTGGCGGCCTCGTCCTTGGGCATGCCCAGCGTGCCCCCGCGGCCCTGGCAGGACAGCTGCGCGTCCACGTACCTCTTCTCCTCCTTCACCAGCAGGTAGATCTTACTGTCCGTCTCGCGCACGCCGGCCACAGCTGCGGGGGGGGGCAGTGCTGGAAAGTGAGCACTCGCGTTTCCGTAAGCACACTCGGTGCGCGGCACACGCGCCAGACACACGGACCGCGCTCTCGGGGTGGGGAGGGGGCGGGAGACGCAGGGAACGTACCATTTTTTATGAACTTCAGCTCGGTGGTCAGCTGGGTGACCTGGTTATCCATCTCCCCGATGGCCTTCCTCAGCTGGCTGCACTCGCACGGGATGCCTGCGGGGACGCGGCCCTGGCGTTAGCGGGTGACCGCCCCCCCCCGCCCCCCGCCCAGGCAGAAAGCTTATTGGGCAAGTGGACCCCGCGGGCCCTCTGGGCTGCAGATCCCGGGCTCCACCCCAAGGGCGAGGACGAGCCGTGGAGCCACTTCGGGGCAGCGCCGTTCTGAAATAGGGCTCTGGTTGGGGGAAGGAAGAGGGGACATGCAGAGGGACAGGTTGGAGGGTGGCACCGGGGCCGTGACCGTGCAGCCGCAGAGAAGCAGGACCCTCCGAGGACGGTGGGGGCCCCAGGGCCTGAGGGCTCGTCGCGCGGCACTGCCAGCCATGCCAGCTCAGGTCGGGGTGCTGGCCCTTCGGGGGGCCCCGAGCCACCTCCCGTGAGGAGCGCTGCTCGTAAGGGCCTCCTCAGACCCCCGTCCCCGTCCCCACCGCAGCAGGGGACCCGGCCACAGCCAGTCCGTCGCCTCCCCCAGAACCGAGCTGGGAGGCCCCCGGAGAGCCCGCGTGCAGGACCCTCCTCTCCCCACAGAGCCCCTGGCGCGGGGTCCAGCCGCACTTCCGGCCTGACCACCCCCCTTGGACGACGGGGCCCGCCTTCCAGAGTCTCAGCCCCCGTCCGTCACCCGGCGTCCAGGTCGCCCTCGCTTCCCACGCCCAGATCCGGTTCCCGCTCAGTGTCCCAAACCACGCTTGGGCCCGGGGCTGGTGCTGCAGCAGGAGTTCGTCGGAGACCCAGGCCGTCTGCGCTCCCCACCAGTGGCCAGGCTTTCGGGGTTGGGCTCTGCAGCGACAAGTCCTGGGCTGGTCCCCGTGTCCCCGAGCCTCCTGGGCGGCCCCACAGGCCTCCTGGCCTCCTCCCCGCGGAACCGGCCACAGAGGTGCTGCGCCCGGCCCGGGACGGCTCTGCCGGGTGGACGCCCACCAGCCTTCCTCCTCCCTCGGCAGCGCCGTCCGAGCCCTTCAGACGAGGGCTTTTTACTCAGAAACCTCTTTTCCCCATATTTCCAAGCTCCAAGCTTTCTCGAGGCCTATTCTCTGAATATCACAATCGGGATAATTGACAGCAAGTGGAGACGCCGTATGAGGGACAGAGAGAGAGAGAGAAAGAGAAAGAGGCTGATTCAGCAAGTGGACGCCTGAACGTCTCGCAGACACGGGATCTGGGGGGGGGGGGCGGTCAGGACCAGCCCCTGGGAGGCCTGTTAGGCTCCAGGGCTCCCCACCCCGAGGCCTGACGCAAGCCCCGAGCGAGGAGCTGGTGGCAGGGACAGGACACAGGACAGCTGTGCCGATGGAGGACGGCACGGACGGCGGGGACCAGTGTGGGACGAGGCAGGACAATGGGCAGCAGGGGACAGAGCGGGACGGTGGTCGGCAGGGGACCTGCCAGCCGGGCGCAGAGGGCGACACACACATGGGGCTGCGGGGCGTGGCGGGCACGCACCAGGTAGGGGCCAGGCAGGGCCGGGCTGGGGGCCAGCAGGGTGGGGGAGGCGCGGGGGAGCAGAGGCAGCAGAAGCCCACGGGGAGGGGGCCCCTAAGCCCAGACCGCTGCGGTCTTAGTCCGTGATTCGCACCGACTTCTCCAGCGCGATTTCCCCCACGTCTTGGTTACTCGAAATAATGCGCCATGAACCCAGGGGCGCAGACGCCGTTGGAGTCACTGCTGTTTCCCTTGGATATGTTCCTGGGTGCAGGGTCTCTGGGTCACATGTAGCTCCATTCTCAACTTGTTGGGGACCCTCCACACTGTCCCCAGAGCGCTGCGCCAGCTTGCCCTCCCTCCAGCAGGGCACGAGGGCTCCCCTTCCCCGCCTCCTCGCCGACACCTGTCCTTTGGTAACGGCCAATCCACCCGGTGTGACGTGACCTCTCACTGTGATACCGATTTGCATCCCCCTGACGGACTAGACGTGTTCAGCGTCCTGTCAGGCACCTGTTGGCCTTTCGTACGTCTTCCTTAGAAAAATGTCTATTTGGGTACTTTGCCCATGTTTTATTTTTTTATTTTATTTTTATTTTTTTTTAGGATTTCATTTATTTATTCGTGAAAGACACACAGAGAGAGGCAGAGACACAGGCAGAGGGAGCAGCAGGCTCCATGCGGGGAGCCCGATGCAGGACTTGATCCCGGGACCCTAGGGTCACGCCCTGAGCCCAAGGCAGATGCTCAATGGCTGAGTCCCCCAGGTGTCCCTGCTCATGTTTTAATTAGGTTGTTTGGCTATTGAATTGCATGAGCTCTTTATATGTTTTGGATCTTCACCCCCCTTAACAAACGTGCAGTTTGTGAATCTTTTCTCACTTTCTTGGTGGTTTCCTTTGCTCTGCAGAAGCTTTTGGTCGGAGGTGGTCCCACTTGGCTTACTTTTCATTTTGTGGCTTAATACGTGAGGTGTCCTACCCAAACACTCGTGACCAAGGCCCGCATCGGGGAGCTTCATCCCGGTGTGTTCCTCCGCGAGTTCCATGGGTTCGGGTCCTGCATTTAAGTCTTTAGTCCATTTCTAATTAATTTTTGCGAGCAGTGTACGATAGGGATCCCGTTCCATTCTTTTCCGTGTAACTGTCTTATTTTCCCAGCGCCGTTTATGGAAGAGATCGTCGTCTCTCCATGGAGTCTTCTTGGCCCCCTTATCAAGTGTTAGTTGACCGTGTATGCCTGGGTTTATTTCTGGGCGCTCGGTTCTGCTCCATTCGTCTGTGTGACTGTTTTTATGCCAGTGCCCCGCTGGTTCGATTACTGTAGTTTTATGGAATAAAACTTCAGGATAGCCTGAAGTCCCAGAGTGTGATGCCTCCCACTTGGCGCTTCTTCAACTAACCCTTTTTTTTTTTTGCACATTATAAGCTTCGCAAGCAATGGAAGCCCCTCAAGACTTGCTATAGAGAGAAAGAAAAACCAGCCAACCAGCGTGCGCGTCCATCCATGGATGAATGGGTTGATGAGCTGTGACATATGTACACAGCGAAGACTATTCAGCTCTAAACAATTAGGAAACCCTGTCATTGGGATGTTGTTGTTTTCTTTTAAGATTTTACTTATTCATTTGAGAGAGAGAGAGAGAAAGCATGAGTGAGGGAAGGGGCAGAGGGAGAAGGAGAAGCAGCCTCCCCGCTGAGCAGTGAGCCCAACTCGGGACTCGATCCCAGGACCCCAGGATCACGACCTGAGCCGAGGCAGGCACTTCACCGGCTGAGCCCCTCAGACGCCCTGGAAAACCCCATCACTGGTGACATGGATGCACCCTGCGGGCCTATAGCTGGGTGAAACGAGTCAGGCGGAGAAGGACAGACTCTGCAGGACCTCACTTCCATGTGCACTGGGGGACGGGAGCCAGCGGAAGGGTCCCCGGCGTGGGGTAAATGCCCATCAGGGATGTGACGCACGTGAGCCCCGTAGCTGACACTGCGTGACACACTGGGCAGCTGGGAGGACGGCAAGTCCTCTGAGTCCTCATCGCCAGGATAATCTGTTATTTCCTTTTCTTTTTTTTCCTTTTACTGTTTCTAGATATGAGATGGGTGTCAGCCGAACCTATAGTGAGGATCATCTCACAGTATCGGTGCATCGAGCCGTCGTGCTGTGCGCCTTAATCCTTTACGGGAACGTATGTCCGTTATCTCTCAATAAAACAAAGAAAATGCAGAGACGCCTGGGGGGCTCAGCGGTTGAGCGTCTGCCTCCAGCTCAGGTCGTGACCCCAGGGTCCTGGGATCGAGTCCTGCATCGGGCTCCCTGCATGGAGCCTGCTTCTCCCTCTGCCTGTCTCTGCCTCAATCTGTGTCTCTCAAGAATAAATAAATAAGTAAAATCAAGAAAGAAAGAAAGAAAGAAAGAAAGAAAGAAAGAAAGAAAGAAAGAAAGAAAGAAAGAAAGAAAGAAAGAAAGAGAGAAAGAGAGAGAGAGAGAGAGAGAGAGAGAGAGAGAGAGAGAAAGAAAGAAAGAAAGAAAGAAAGAAAGAAAGAAAGAAAAAGAAAGAAAGAAAGAAAATGCAACTTTTAATACATTTTTTAAAAGCCTTGGACCCTCTATGTCATACCTGGTTCTCCATTAGGGCCAGGGGGTCCTATGTCACCAGAATCTCCTTTTTCACCTGAAAAAAAAAAAAAGAGAGCAAGGTCAGACCAAGGTCAAGCAGAGGTGGGCACGTCACATGAGGTCAGAATTGCAAGATTCACGGTGTTATTTCTTCCACGTGTAATGTCCCAGGGTTCCCCACAGACCCTCCCTTTGCTGTGAATACGGGGAGGTGTGCTCTACAGATAATTAATTCTTCAGGCTCTATTGATGTGACGTGGAGCATATGCTCATCACGAGATGAGAGAGATTACCAGACGGTCCTCCTTGAAGTCGATTCTGAAAAATCCCGGTTGTGTCATAGAACAATCTGTAGCTATCGTGTCACGAACCCTGAGTCAGTAACAACTAAATCTGACTCCAGTGCTCGCCCTCGTCACGGCAGGGGAGAAGGCGGGATGCTGGCTGTGGGAGGGCCTGGGGACCCTCGGGGCCGCCCGGCCTGAGACGCGGCCTCCTGGGGACAGGACACGCCCCGCAGCCCCCGCCCCACCCTGCCGCCCAGCTTCGAAAATAAAGGGGTTGGACACAGTCGTGCCAACAACGCTGTCCAGCTCCTGTAAAGTCAGACGACAAATCGTCAACGGCACATGAGTACTCCTGCCGTGTGATCTTTGTCCTCCCTGAGACAGCCGGGACGATGTCCCCGCTGGCGTGGGACGGGGAAGGAGCAGTGCCTCCCCCGCTCTGGATTCACATTGTATCCCGTCCGCGTGGAGAGGCAGAGGGCGTCGGTCCCGTCCACACGAGCCCGTGACTCCCTCGCCAGCATCGGGGCTTGAACGTGACCCGAAGGCAGCCCGACGAGGGCCCGGGAAGCTGAGCGCGTGAGCTAAGCCAAACGAGGGGCTTGTGGGCACACTGTCCCCCGGCGAGACGCTGGCCTTCACCCCGAGCACGTGTCGTGTACGAAAAGCACACACGTCTCTACTTGGGCGCCAGCAGGCGCTGCGTTCTCACCGACAGCTAAGAGGTGGCAACGACCCAAATCCCCAGAGGCAGATGCATGGCCCAAGGACACGTGGTGTAGCCACGATTCAGCCTCAGGAAGGAAGGAAACGAACCGTGAACACGTGATGCCAAGTGGACTAAGTCAGACATCGGTGCATCCGTGGAACACGCAAACCCGTGGAGAGGCGGAAATCGGATGAGAGGGGGCCACGGCGGACGGAGGGGCCCAGAGACCCTGCTCCACCAGGACTCGGTCCCTCCTCGGGGAATGAGGCGTCCCGGAGACGGTGGTGCTGGCTGTACGTCACTGCAGGTGTGCTAATGCCCTGCCTTGTGCACTCGGACATAGTTAAAGTGGCCGCTTTCATGTGATGAGTATGTCACCACTATTTGTCAAAGCCTTTGTGCAGCACACCTGTCCCTCTTTGCACCCTGCAGGTCTAGGTGCTCTTTCCCTGGTGGGCTGTCCCAGCAGGTGCTCCCCACGGCTTTGCCAGGAGACACGCAGAGTTGGCCCGTCTCCATCATGCTCCTGGCCGAGGACCCGCTCCTGCCGGGGACGGGCTGCAGCTACGGGGAGGTGCGTGGCCACCAGTCAGGACAAACCGCCCCAACCCACTCACAGTTCACAGCCCCGGGAGAACCCTGGTACGGGCATGGAGCAGCCCACACCGCACCCCTCCCTGCCGCAGGTGCCGCCGCCCCCGCCCCCCAGGCCTTGGCCTCCTCATTAGCACCCCCAGGAGAGGTGGGGAGGCCTCCATGGGCCCACTCATTGTGAGCTCAGGGCCCCGGGGACTCCAGCACAGGACGCACCAGGGGCTCAGAGAGCATCTGCTCCCCGGGTGGCTCGGAGCATCCTCGTCCTCCCGGGCCTGGGCCTCCTGACCTGCCCACCCCTGCACGGCTGTGCCATCAGATGAGGCTGTGAGAGGGACCCACGCACCCGCGGGCGTCACTACAGGGCGGCTCTCACGCTGGCTGCTGCCTTCCTGGGCCCCGTTCTCACGGAGAGCCACCCCACAGTCTCAAGAAGTCACCAAAGCTGGAGGTGGACAGTGTTTCTGGAGCACGGCCCTCCCGTCACCCAAACGGGGCTCAGTGCTTCGTTCTCCGTCCGGGTGCCCTGTGAATCCTCTGGGACTGGGAGCGCTCGCCCCACCCCGGGGGGCGCACACCCCGCAGGTAACTCTGACCGATCCCAAATGCAAACCCTGGGACCGAACGTACCGTGTGCAAGGCACACAGAAATAAACAGGCACAGCCCCCAGGCAGGACGGCCAACCTGCAACCATTCGAGGGCGCCCGCGCCGTCCGCCTGGGAGGGAATGGGGCAAGAAGGGCGTCGCAAGTACCTTTAGAACCAATGGGACCAATTTTTCCATGGCGACCCACACTGCCCTTCTGTCCTTTGTCACCCATGTCTCCTGTAGAAAACAACAAGATCAAAGTTGGTTGGTGCACAGGTAATTCAGAACACCTCCTGCTCAACATGACCCACGCGCACACACGCGCACGCACGCACACACACGAGAGGAGACGGAGATGCACAGCTCTCGTCTTCGTCTCTTCCAGGTCACGGGAGTGATGGGCCCCGGGTTGGTTCTTGCTGATAGAGTTTCCGGAGGAAGGCACACCTCCCCCGGGAAGTCACACGCGCTGCGGAACGAGCACCAGCCCCGACCACAGCCACGGCCCCTCCTGCTCGGCAGCTGCATCGGTGCAGGGAGGTTGTCTGGCCTCCGTCCCGGCCCCAGACCACGTGGAGCAGGCCACAGTCCCGCCGACCGGCCCACAGGCTGCCCTCGGGAGCTGGAGGTGCACGGGTGGCTCCCGTCCCCGGGAAGAAGGGAAGAAGGGTGACAGAGGAGGGCCCGGGGAATGCTTCGTGACCCCCAGCAGGGCCTGGTTGCACAGCACCGTCAGAGCCTTCCGCGCGGCACTGAGGGTGACCACCCCGCTCTGCCCCGAGCCCCTCCCACGGTCGCATCACCACAGGCTGGCCCAGGGACCCATCCGCACGCCATGAGCCCACAGGACCGGCCTCGCTGACCGATGCACGGCGACCAAGACGGGCAGGTGTCGCCCATTCACGGGACAAATGGCGCCAGCAGAGGGGATTTTCTCGACGTGAAGGTTTTCTCCCACAATGTTCTTAAACACCTGGCATCCGCTCCCGCCCGTCGACGGTGGTCCCCGCAGACCGCAAACCGAGCCAGCAAATCCCAAGCAAATACACGCAGAACCCTCACGGTAAAGGGATCATGCAATCAGATTTAATTTAATGACCTTAAACTGAATAAAACTAAAAGCAATTTGGTGCAAGCAGCTGTGCAGGACAGAGGTGACCGGAAGGACTTTATGCTGCGTCCGGGCGAGGCTCAGCCCCGCTGACACCTGCTCACGCCTTAACGCTGCGGCCGGCCCCGCCGGGAGCTCCTGGATTGGCTATGTTGGCTACATCAGGGATGGACAGAGATGAGGGGACAGGGCACAGGCTTCGGGACCAGCCCCGGCTGACGAGGAAACACCCCCGTGACACACAAACAGCTGGCCTCACACTACCTTACCCACAAAGCACACTCGTGTCCATTGGCTACTTGGTCACAGACATGACCCCGCTGCACAGACAAGGCCCTCGGGCCTGGGTGCCTGTCGGGTCAAGCGCCCAGTGTACGGCAGGACCAGGACAGAGCCATGACCTGCTGCTCTGAGGCCCAGCGCCCCTCTCCAGGTGCCATGGTAGGCGGGGACGACAGGGAGACCGAGGCCAGATGGCCCAGCCGCAACAGAGGCACCTCAGGCCGCAGACCCTGTGGACGGCGTGCTGTGTGTGGTGCCGGGGACATCGGGGGTTGGACACCCGTAACAGGTGTGAGAAGTGTCGGAACAAGAGAGGCGCCATGGGGAAGCCCTGGCGAGGGATCCAGGACCCAGCTGGGGTGGGGGAAGGCGACCTGGGGGCTGAGGCACAAACGGCCAGGTGGGGAGTTAGGAGAGAGACAAGACGGGGTTCAGGCTGGACACGCATCTGGTAACAAGAGGGGCTGGAAGGGGGCGAGGACATGCGGCCAGGGGAGCAGGGGGGCTGCAGGTGCACTGCAGCCGTGTCGGGGGTGGGGAACGTAAGGCTTGAAGTAAAGCCTCGTCTGGGAAGGGGTTGGCAGCGGCGATGGTGGGGAGGCGCCGGGGCACGCAGGGGCAGGGGAGGGGACCAGGAAGTGGGCGTTCCCGTGGGGACCCCCAGCAGGAGGGTCCAGCAGGGCCTCAGGCCAGCGAGGCGGGGGTAACTGAAAACACAGGCGGTCTGGAGGTCACCCTGCAGAAGGTGGGGGCGCCCATGGGGTGGGAGCTGCGCCCTGACACGGGTGGGACGTGGCGAGCATGAGGCCCTGGACAGAGCAGGGCCATCAGTTGAGCGCTGCAGAGAAGCCTTGGGACGAGGACAGGCGCAGGCCTCCGGGGACGAGGTCACGGGGCCCCCAGGCGGGGTCGGGGGCCCAGTGGGGAGAGTCGGGGCAGCGGGTAGGGAGCGGCGGGGGGCGGGGGCGGCTCCCCAGGGGGAGGGGGTCCGCGCGGGGGCAGCGCTGCGAGCTGACTGTCCATGCTCCTCTGTGTCCCTCCGGCTACCAACCCTGAGTCACTGCCAAGGAGCATGCTCCAGGCTCCCGCCTGGCCCTTCCTGCCCTCGGGGTCCCCGGGACAGGTGCGCCCGCATCAAGCCCACGGTGAGCCGCCAGGGCCGCCAGAGGGAAACGTAACAGAACGGTTTCCATCGGCGGTCACCCTGCTCCCGACGGTGCGGCCATCGCCGCCAAGTGTGGGCGTGTGGGGCGACAGGCCAAGGAGTCACCGTCGCGGAAGGACGCCAAACGCCACCCTGACGCTGTGCTGAAGGAGGAGCAGGGGCTCTGCCGCCAGGCCAGCGGATCGGGCTGCCCCCAGCCCTGCGCTGTGTCCCCGCCGCCGTCTGGAACGTCCCCGGGGGCCCTCGCCTCCCACGCGGCCCTCCCGCCCTGCCCCCCAGGGCTGAGGCCCTGACCCCTGCAACAGGAGCGGCAGGTGACCGGGGCTCCACGCAGTCAGGAGGTGGCGGGGACGGGCGCACCTGCAGGAAGGGAGACACCAGAGCTGGCTGCCTCCCGTCATGGGGACGTCGGTCCTGTCCGGCCAGGGCGAGGCTGTCGCCAGAGCCCGAGCAGCGGCAGCCGGATCCCAGACCTCGACCTCCGACCCGGGACAAACACACGTGCTGTTCCTGCCGCCCGGCGTGCAGTGCTCGGCGAAGGCAGCGCGGCCGACTGAGTCACCTCTGTTGTCCCGACCTGGGGCCCTCGGGCCCACGCGTGTGGTCAGAGCATCAGAGGTGAGGACGGTGCTCCCGCTCAGCCCCTTGCAAAGAGCATCCTGCAGCAAAACTCTCCGCGCCTGCACCCTTCCGAGGCCGCGGGGCCACCGTCCTCCCTAAGCTCCTTGCTCCCAACCCTCCTGGGCCATCTCTGCGTCACATGCCCAACGCCAACGCCGATTCACGGGTGTTGCTGCGCCTGTGGCCCTTCCTTCCCTCCCCGGCGGGTACTGAGCCCTGCACCTGCCTTGGGAGAAGCATGGGGCCCGGGCCTCCTGGGGAAAACCCGACGCCTCACGGGGCAGGTGTCATAGGCGGTCCCTGAGCCCCCACCAGGCTCCCACTGCGCCGGCACCCTGCTCTCAGCCACCCCCGGGCACCCGGAGGGTAAACCTCCATGTGTAAGCAGCCCCACGAGGGGACACTTGCTGCCCCACGAGAGCCGGGAAGTCAGAGCGGCCAAGCGGCCCACCTGAGGCACGCAGCGCACTGGTGAAGGCTGCCTTCGGTGGCTCAGGGTGTGGGCCCCGCTGTCAGGCCGCTGGGAGCCCGGCCCTAGTCCTTCACCCGGGCACCTGGGACACTTTACGGCCGCTCCCAGGGGTGAGCACCAGAGCGGTGTCCAGCGCCCATGTCGCCGAGCACCTGGTAGCGTCTGCTTCACCCGGACTGAGGCCTCCGTCGGTGTCCAGGGCTCCAAACCCCAGAGCCGGGCTGACCACTTGTGGGAACACCAATGCCCCCCGGGCTGTGCCGTGGCTCAGGCCCTTGGCCAGTGGGGAGGAGCCACCAGCACCCCCCTTTGCCTTCGCCAGCGGCCCCTCTCCCCCTAGACAGTGGCCTCTTCCACTGGGCCCCCCCCAGGCCCTGAGGCACCAGAGGACCTGCTCGTGCCACACGCCCAGCGGCCTTACGGGAGCACCAGCATGGGGAGGGGCCAGGCACTGGGGCCAGCGGGCCTGGAGGGGGTCAGAGACCCCAGCCCGCCGCGCACATGCTCCCACCCCAGGGCAGAGCCGCTACCCCAGCAGGCTGGGAAGAGCTGCCATTCGCTGGTGCTGGGCAGAGAGCACACTGACACATGCATGCACGCACATGCGTGCACACGCCATACATGCTAACACACATGCATCTATAAACCCTTCATGAAAAATTGCTGGGGAAGCTGTGATTTTTCACAGGTCCCTGTGTGAACACACACGTGTGTGCAAACATGCCTGCACCTGTTCAAACACATGTACACACACAACTACACACAAGTAGACACACACACACCCCTTATGCTCGTGCGTGTGCACACAGGCCACCCGAGGTTGTACAGCTGGTGAGCACCAGCTGGGTTTGAGCACAGACCACCAGGGCACCCAGGAGGCCCCCCGGCACCCCTCACGCTCACCCCCTGCCAGCACCCCTGCACACTGACCTATTGCTCCCAGTAGGAACATTCTACCTCTTGGGTGTGTTGGGGAAGGAGAGGTGAGAACCATTAAAATCCGCTGAGACTGTCAACACATTCTCTGCAGCAATCCCAGGTGGTTTGCGTGGCTGACCTCTTCTCACCCACAGACATTTCTTGGGAAGCAGCCCGTGGGTAGAAAAGGATCGTGGTTATAAACCCAGAGGCTCCCAGAGGAGCGCAGATTAGAACAAGGGCTCTACTGCCGCCTTCCTGCTCCCAGGAAGGTTTTCTTGCTCCCCCAAATGACAAGAAGCTTTTTGCAAAAAGCAAATAAATGTCCCTCCCTTGGTTGTAGGAGATGATTGGAAATGCAGCAGAGACACTTAGATCCCGTCCCCTCGAGTTTGAAGAGCTCCGTGCAGAGCTCCCCAGGGAGCTGGGGCTGATGCAAGGCCCCTTCCTCCTCCCGTCCCACTAATGAGAGGTGTGCGAGAGCCGTCTGTCCTCTAGACACACACAAGGAACGAAAGAACTGGAGCAGCTCGCAGCAGGCACGTAATTCTTATTAATTTTAATGAAGATCTCATGCAGTCCTTTGAAGTGGAGACGGGGCAAATAGAGCACTCAGAATTCAGCTTCCCCAGCGATTTTTCATGAAGGGTAACGGGCACGGTGCAGAG